GATAGGGTGGTTACAGACGGCAGAGGCTACACGATGCAGCTAGTATTGCATCTTCAAAATCAATCAGATATTGAGAAAGAACTTGTAAATGCCATGCATTCACCGTGAATAATAAACATTTTCATTTAAGTTAGAGATTTAAGTTTTTCGTTAGGAATCATTTTTTTTCAGTAGTTTTGGAAATACGTTTATTCATTATATAGCTAAGTTTGAAGGGCTTTTTAACATATATTTGTGGTAAAGGATTGTATTTATTATTAATTAAAATTAACCATTTTTATTAACAATCAGTTTTCGCCATGTACTGTGGAATTTTTTCTTGAAAAGAGTTTACCAGCAGAAGCTGTCTGATTTTGATCATGAGCGTCATTCCAATAAAGTAGGTCATTGAGCTTTTCTTTTTCTACAGTACAGTTTCAAAATTGAATCTTAGCTGGCACATGTGGTAACGACATCATTTTCCTACCTGTAAATTAAACCCCAACAATCAAGCTGGTAAATGTTTCATATTCCATTCATGAATGTTCTTTATATCTAACTTGAAATGGCAAGGAATCGCTCCCCGTCCACATAATGCTATTTGTTATGTGACGTAAGTTATAAGAACCGGTACCCATTTGGCCGACTTCCATCTCCTGATTTTCTTTTCCCCATATTTTTTATTTTGTTCGTTTACAAAATTCATCGTCTGAACAGAAAAGGGGAAAAGGGCCCTGTAATGATCCTTAAAGACCTTCGAATTTTGTTGACTATCTTCTGTCCTTGTTTTTGCCTTATCTTCCTTCTCCAATGTTAACACATTTTACTACGTCCAAGATGCTCTGTTCTAAAGCTAAAATTATTGCCCGTGGCTGTTCCTTTTCTTGTTAATGTGATTCTCTTGCTGTATAATTATGCTAAGTTACCATGAATGATCTTCTCCTCAGCTGTTTCTTCAACCTTTTTTTTTCTCCGAACTTCTTGAGGCCCATTTTTTCCTTATCACACTTCTTCTTTAGAGTTGTCCAAGCTTGAAACACAGAAACTCAAGAATTCGAAGCTTCGTGTAAACATTCTTGTCACTTAAATTAATGACAACCAAGCACAAATTTTATACGCAACGTAACATGGAGGTTCGGCCTGACTATAAAAGTTTATGCGAAAGGATCTGTGAAATTACCTATAAATTTTAAAAGAAGAAATATTGATAATTTGATTTGGTTTCTTCACAAGAGCTATTCAGAAGAAAGGGGAGCGCTGAATGATATTTCTACCACGTCCTGTTGTCACTTGCTTGTAAAACTGGAGTTATTTTGTCAAGGTGTATTCGGGGTTGTTATCGGGTTTAACGTAGCCTTGAAGCAGGTTGTGTCAAGCTTTCTTTTTCTGTACCATGGAAATGCAAGTGATTATTCTTCACTGTTTATTCTGAGCGAGACCCATTGGCTACGACGAAAGTGGTGTACATCCTGGCTGTAAGGGGTCATTGATTCTCTCCAATGAATCAGTTTACTCTTTCAATCCCTATGCTGATGCACGCCCCTTTAATGCGGGTACAGTACTTCAATAGCACACTGGCTCCCAGATCTCGTTTGGCACAAGGCTGTGGGACAACGCCCAGTACAACAGGGCTGCGGTTGGTATTACACCATTTTTTCTTAGTTTTATGACAAGCTGAGCTTGTTATTTGTATGGTTTCAAACAAACAAGACCTTTAAGCCATAGCCTGATTCGAAGCTAACTAAGCGAGTAGAAAACAGATTATCGGCAGATAACTAAGCTAGCTGTGTTGCCTACCGATGCTCGATGTTAACTAGCATGATGTTCTTTTTTCAAACAATTTGTAGCACACACTAATCTTATCATTGTTGCTGCTTGATGATAATTGGAAAAGTTATTTGCAGGTCGCTTTATTGAGCAATCAATTGTAAAAGGGCTTGTTTATCGAATTTCAATTAATCTATATTTCTCTAGGGCCGGCGAAACCGGGGGGGCCATGCCCCCCCCCCACTTTTCTGCAGAGCCAAAGAAAAATTTTAGGTAAAAGTGGAAATAAATAAAGTATGATTCTGTAAGTAACTTTGCCTAGTATTATCTTAAATGTGTCCTTAGCTTTACCTTGGTTGCTATGTCTTTACCATAGAAGACAAACATAAAATTGAATATGGGAATTAGATCGAAGAAATCGGTCATTGCCTAAGTTTTACAACGAGTAACAGCGTGGCTTCGCAAATAGATCGAGAAACCTAGTCCAGAATAACTTGGTGACAGCACAAATTGACGGATTTTCGTTTTTTCCATTGCCTTAACTTGGCACACAAGGTCTATTTGTTAACGAAAACTTTATCAGAAACATTACAAAAAGAGAGAAATCAGCTGCTGAAAGAAAAGAAAGAGCTGCAAAGAAAATTTTTGAGGATATGAGAAATTAAGTATCAAAGTATCATCAAGATAACTTCAGAGATTGATCGTTTCAACGCTCCGCGGTGCCTGATTTCAAGTCAACATCACAATAGACGCGACTATGCGTCACATTCAGCCAAAATTCATTTTAGATACAGTTTCTGGCCATCCCTAAGACACCATAATTTTAAAATTTTTCTTGCCGCCAACAGGTGGCGGCCTTTCCTAAGCCCTTTCAAGACTTTGATATTTTGGCCCCTCCACTTACAAATACGTTTCGCCGGCCCTGTTCTCTTGCTATCATTACCTTTGTCTTGATGCAATTTCTACCCTGTTGGTTTTTGGTTTGATCACCTGAAATATTGCATAATCAGTTGCTATCGCAATGCCTGTCTTTGTGATAATACTCTTAGCTGCATACTCACATGAAGTACTTCGTTATTAATGAAACTTGGTATTTTTTCCAGAGCAGGTCCGCATCAGCTACATGATGCCAATTAGCAAAATCTGCATATCAAATAAAATTATGCATGTATGTATGTACTTCTGCATGTTGTCATGAATTTGTTTCAGATGCAAGAATTGCTCCGAATACGAGATGGATCGATTCCGTAAAGGAGTATATCGTCCCAAGGCCGATTTACTGATGATTTGTTGGTTTGAAGAAGCAAGTCGACCAGTCAAAAATTAATTCCTACTACAATTAATGATTGGCCTTTCGTTACCAGTCATTATCAATCAAGTATGTTGTTTATCCGAAACGTTCTTGTCTGAAACCAAAATTTACAACTCAATTTGGTTTCAATGCCTAAATATTTGAGCATTAAGGTTTTCAAAAGGAAAGCATGTAAATCCACTGTTGTTTATTGTTAGCTGTTGTTGTATGTAGGGAACTAACATGTGGAAATATTTTTCACAATCTTTCATCAATGAAGACGATCAATGAAAAGGCCCGAGTTTTGAGATTTGTGGTAATCCACCCCTCAATCAAGAGACCAACAACTAACGTCTTCTCCAGGACCTTCCATTTATTAGGTTATCATGAATTTATGCACATCCAATAGGATACCAGTATCCATGGTGTTTAAACGCTTTCTGCATCCTGAAGAGCAATGCTGGACTACAGCTATTTTCTACAAGCTTTTTTTCCTGTAAGTAATCTTGAAAAGGGAGGACCTTCTTGGAAAAGGTATTTGCAATGCAATTCTTGTGAATTTTTGGAAAAAAATGCGACTTTAAAAACACTGCCGGCTTTAATTGAAAAAGTGAATGACACTAAAATTGTGTTTTTTTCATTTTAGATCCATTTTATAACATTGTTTATAACTTATATTATTTTTTATTGCAAATATTATACTCAATTGATACAATGTATATGATAAAGCCTTTATACTCACTGGCTTGTGTCTTGAATGTAATAGCTTCTGCATTTTTCTGCCCAAAGTGACTCTTAACATGAATCTGTCTGGGCTATTTTTAAGTTTTCGAGATACTAGCCTCTTATTCATACTTCTTTATCCAACCTCTTACAATAAGCTCTGACGCGCATCGCATAGGCATAGGGAATAAACGTGATGTTTAGCGTTTAGCATCCGCTGCGCCAACGCTGGCACAGACAATCCAGGCCTATTTAAAGATAATTATGTAACACTTTATAAAGACCTATCCTTTTAGCTTATAAATTTATCGAAAAACAAGTAATGGTCTGTCGATAAACCATTAGAGGCATGTAGACCACAAAGGGGGATCCCCCATAGTGGTTGGGATTCACGCATTCACGCATAATTATTTGACTTTTCACGCATTCACGCACTGCAAAAGTGGACTTTCACGATCACGCAAACAATAAATGTAATATCAGCTATTGCTCCTCAGAGCCCGGTTTGAAGGACTACAACACAAGTTTCAAACTTTGAATACCAATTTGAAATTTAACTATCATTGGTTTCTTGCGTACCAAATTGAGGCAATTTTTAAATTATCGTTCAAAATTTCATCCACGAATTCACGGAGAGTTAAAGCCTTTTCACGACACAATGCAAGGAAAACTCATTTTTCACGCTTCACGTAGGAATCTTAATTCACGAAATCACGCATAAAAAATCGAGATTTCACGATTTCACGCACGAAAATACGGCCAATAACGCAGTAGTAATTTTTTTCAGAAAAGGAATAAAATATGTAAAATGCAAATTGTTGGGTGTTCCAAGTACTTTTGGCAGGCATTGTACCACTAGCATAACGCATTGTCCAATTTGTGTTTATCGATTTTCGAACTTGTTTTGAGAAAATTCATTTGACCTTTACACTATCGTTCGCAAACATTTTAGCAAAGTTGTGTTCTTATTTAATAAACAGCAGCGCGTTAATTTAATTAAACCCGATCATACTCAGTTATTCTGATTTAAATATTTCTAGATGACAATTTTTCGCCTTTGAGAAAGCAATGAATTAATTTGCGTCGACCATACAACGACCTGCATCTACTGATCTTTTTTTCAGATCAGTGCCTGCATGCCATAATATTACATTGAGGTGAATTGCAGCTGCAAAGATATGACATTTTATTTTTTTGAATTAGGCTATTTCTACGAATATCCTGCCACTAACGAAATAGGCCGTTGTACGCCCAGCACTTCGCTTTGGAACATCCAGTTGGCTGCAGACATCGTTGAAAATCTTAGAAAACTGATATCAACATGGCTGCTTTGCCACGAAGAATAATGAAGGTGAGTTACATTATCTTTTACTCTCCCAAGTCAATTGCTGCTTGCTGAAGAGACAAAGGAAGTCCACGACAGACCATGGCCTAGGAGGCTGTACTAGAAACCGACCTTGCATATCTTTTTTAAAATCCTTTCAGAAGGAGAATGCTAAAAGACATTCAGATAGTTGATTTGTAAAAATGCAATTGACTTTTGGTATATGTGTCTTTTCAGTTATTAAAATGTCACAGAATTATTGATTTTATAAGACTTGTTGCTACCTGTCAGTTGTTCTTTGATCTCGTGTTTTCCTGCAAATTTTTGTATTGTTCAGTAGTTTGTCAAAGAAGCCACGACTTCTTTCATTTTTAGACAGTTATGAAATGTGCTAAAAGGAAATTGCTTTGCGAGGAAATTTCTTTGCTTTTTACTGGTGGTATTTGATTAATATCTCAAATAAGTGGTGCACAGATTGAATCTAGTATTACCCTTTCTTTGTATTATTTGTGCTGACCTTTCATTATTCTTTGTAGATTCTGTGATATATTTTCAATGATGAACATACCCTGTAAACATTCCCATCGGTTGTTGAACATTTAGGAAATTTGAACATCAAGCCATTGTAGCCATTGAGTGTGACTCCATCCAATTTTTTTTCCTTTTTATTATTTTTCTATATATTCTGCTTTAACTTTCCAAATTTGAGTGTTATAGTACGAAAGGTAAATATACACTCTAAAAATCCCCTCAGTTGTTGGACATTTTGACATAAAACATTAATTCCTTACAATAAAGTTTTGTGAGAAACACTTGACATATTTTGATATTTGTTATCAATGTTAAATTGGTATATTTTATATTTATTCTGGTGAATTATAAAATTATCAGGAAGAGCAGCAATCAGGTCTCTCGTGTAAATGGAGGTTTTCTTCCTTTTTAGAATATTTTATCTAGGATAGAAATACCAGAAATGAACCTTTTGTGCAGGCTGCCAAATTTTTAGATATAAAATGTGTGAAGTCTAAAAATTCCCCTTTTTTAATTCTGGGATCAAACTAGAGCAAAAAAGAAGCACTAGTTAATTTGATTGTGGAACAAATCAAAGACACTTGCATTGAGCACCCACCAAGCCTTCTTCTTTTCATTTTTAATTTTCTGATTCTTTGCAAGCATTGCCATTCCATTCTCTCCAAAGTTCACATAACTACATATGATTATCAAACTAACTAAAGTATTTAAATGTACCAATGATGTATCAACCGAGGTGGAGCAATGATAAAAAATAAACATCCTAATGTTGCTAGCTAATTCTAAAACTAACATTGTAAATTGTCAATAATATTTAGGGCTCAAGGGTTGCTTACAGCCTCAAATGAAAATTTTATTGTCATCTGTGGTTCAAATGATACTTTTCATTTGCAAAAGTACACACAATAAATCTATTTCGAATTTATGTTGGGAAACTTCATAAAAAGCTATTTAAAAAATCATTGCCTGTGTGTGACCTGATATGGAAAGATATTCATGAAAAACGCACAAAATATGGAAAGGCTGGAAGGTCTGATTGTTTGGATAAATTATGAAAATTAAGTTAGAGAGTGAAGCTAGATATCATGTGTCTAGGGAAAATTTTTTCAGATTGTTTAAGAAAATAATGCAGATGTATTACTAAGAATTTTTGTTTACTAGTCAAATCTTAAAATTCATCCATGTGTTATATATACATCAAACAAATTCCCAGCCAAATCTTTGATACAAACTATTCTTTTCACACAATTGTGTCAATGCATATATTTTCATTATTCCAAAAAAATCCAAACATAAAGCACATCTTAGCAACAGTGTACATCAACTGATGGGCTTATATTCAAGTTAACATTGTTGTTGTAGGAGACACAGAAGCTTGTTGCAGAGCCTGTTCCTGGTATCACTGCAAGTCCAGATGAAAATAATGCAAGATATTTCCATGTAATCATATCTGGACCAAAGGATGTTAGTATCATGAATTTTTTCAAAATTCGTTGTTTTGTTGTTTATGGATAATTGTATAGATGATGCCAAAAACAAAATTTTATTTAGCCTATCAGATAAAATGTTGATTTTTTAGCTGTTTGTTCAATTTAACATTTCACTAAAAGACCCAGTTTACAGTTAAATTTGTTTAAAGGAATGCTGTATGTTGCCACTTTGCCACTTATTTTTGCTATCAGCAACTTTATATGTTTCACTATGTACCATTTGTGTATCAAACCTTTTAATATATGTAATCTTTGAATTGTTTATATTTTGTAATATAATTAGAATGATCTTGAAATTATTTTTGGTTTTTTAATGAGTTAATGCTTCCACTCACATGACATCCAGGCATGTGGTTGCACATGACATCAAAGTTAATTCAATCAATCATTTTGAAGAAGTGTGTTGCATCTTTGAAGTGCCAGAAAAAATAGCAATAAATATTTGATCTTAAGCCCACCGCACACAGCAGACTTTTGTCTTTGAAAGACAAAAATGTTTGTCTTCACAAATTGCACACATGACAGATTTCCATCTTTGAAGCACACATTGGAATTTGCTTGGTGGGCAGTTGCAAGAGAACATCTTCATGTGATCAAAACATGTTTAATTTCGAAGACTGTCTTTTAAAGACAAAAATCTCTGTCTTTGAAAAGCGCATACGACAGATTTCTGTCTTTAGAATGCTGAAGACAAAAAATCTTTATCTTTCAAAGAAAAAAGTCTTCCGTGTGCTATGGAAACTTTACTGACCAGGGAAATTTTCCAAAAATCAAGGCATGCTACAGAGCATGCACATATAATTGACTGCCTTGCCAACAAAAGCCGGTAGATATTTATTAGAATGAAATAATAATGAAACCTTGTAAGTATACTCTAAACAAATTGCTTAAATTTTTTCTAGTCTCCATTTGAAGGTGGCATTTTTAAACTGGAGCTATTTCTTCCAGAAGAATACCCTATGTCTGCGCCTAAAGTTAGGTTTATGACAAAAATTTATCATCCAAATGTGGACAAGTTAGGAAGAATCTGTCTTGACATTCTTAAAGGTAATTCCATGCGTAAAAGCGTTTATTGTTGCCATTTTTGTTTGAAATTGATGTACCTATCTTGGTTATTCTTATTGAAACTTTTAACATAAATTTCTAGTTATGGAATATATCATTATTTTCTATCTCAATGGACCACTTGGCCAAAAAATTTAAATTTTTTAATCCTATAACGTTCCTTGCAAATGTAAGATAAATTGCCTTTTTATATGATATCATATCTCTAAAATTTGCCTTTTAGATAGGATCTTATAATAAATAGAATTTCCCCTTGAATCTCTCTGAGTCCTTTTGTGTCTCAGTGGAGGGGTCTTTGCCATACAAGTTGCTTGAGTTTTAACTTCAAGTCATTTGAAAATAAACATTTGCTTATGGTTAATTTGATGCATATCATGGTTTTGATTAGCCTTGTTCATTCAACAGACAAATGGAGCCCTGCATTGCAAATCCGAACTGTGTTGCTTTCCATTCAAGCATTGTTAAGTGCCCCAAATCCAGATGACCCCTTAGCAAATGATGTTGCTGAGCAATGGAAAGTTAATGAAAGCCAGGCCATTGAAACAGGTACACATTAATATTTTTGAAATTTTGAAAGGGGGAAAAATCTGCATGTCAACTAATATAGAAAGAAAATATTGTTCAAACTTCTTAGATTTAAATGCTGTACATGTGTAGTGTCAATAAAGATAGAAAAGTCACTGAATTTTTGTGTTTCATGTATTTCACCATTTCAAAGATCAGGCCATCCACGGAAAAGCATGCAATCTCACGCGCACACCTTGGCAAATGCCTTGTTTCCCCTAGAGTGAGGTTTATCCCACACCTTATCAAGGCTATAAGTTACCACCTTTACAGAAAACATGCTGAGGCCCTGTTTTAATGATAACAATTTCTTTTCATGTTGCATTTGTTGTACATGCCTGTTTACATGTTACGGTTTCCATTTTCATTTCATCTTGGATTTGGGGCTCTATTTACACAAGAACCTTTTAGTGCACCAGAGCACTATACTGAGGGGATTTTTCCTTTGATTTATTATCCTTTGCACGGCAGCATTTTATTTTGAAATCAGATTCAATAGTTTACAAGTATCAGATTGGTGTAGACTCACATTTAGAGCGATTTTGTTTGAAAATGTGAAAGCAGTATGAAGCAGATCAGATTGGATAGTTAGCACGTTTACATTTCTTCGTTTTCATTTTAATCTGTCTACTAAGAAGTAAATGTCCGTTTTTATGGGTTCACGATGCTCACAGAAACAGAGTGAGTAAAGATAGCTATTTTTGGATTTGACCATTGACAGTATTTCCATTTTTCTGAATTTGTTTTGGAGCCTTGACCCCCCCCCCCCCCTTTTTTTGTGAGTTCCAACTGCTGATTGAAAAGGAGTAGAGTACCAATATCACCCCATTGCACCCCTTGTTTGTCGTTTTTACCATTCACACTGCTCCATTTTCATTTCTATCCATTTTTATGGATATGCAGCACCCGTTCACACTTGTTTTTTTTGGACGAAAGCAGAGAGGAAAATATCAATTTTTGTGCACAAAAACTGCTCACAGAATCAGTGAAAAAAGTAACCGTTTTTGTGATTTTGACTGCTCACACTGCTTCAGATTTTGTTCACATTGATCCAATGCGTTTTCAGAAACCTCTATTCTTGTGGATATCCACTTTTGATAGCATTTCAAAATCCTCCATTTTTGTTTCATTTTAATGCTTTCTTGTAGAACTTTTTTGTTCCAATTGCAAAATAGCTTTGCAGAAGAAAATGTATTGTGCAAAATAAGTAGTTTAAAAATGGGGTAAAAATTTTAGATTTTCTTCTTCGAATAAATGTTTATAAATACGTTGTTATGCTAAAATACAAATATCACCCAATTGTACCCCTTGATATGACAAAAAGCGCGATTCACTGCATGCCTGCAAATTTATTCCTTGTATGGCCTGAAGGTACTGCCATTTAAAAATCTTACTATAATTCAAATGAGCACACTGTGAGTGCAGGACACACTGACCTTCTTTAGTATTTGTGGTCATATTTTGAACTGTAAATTGAACAGAGCTGGTAGTTGATGGGAAATCATTGCTATGGCTCTATGTTCCAAAATTTTTGTTTTTTAGCTGTTAGGTCCCAGTTGCTTTCTTTATTTGTGTATTTATGTAGAAAATTGGAAATTTTACTCTTTCATTTTGTGGCAGAATTGACAGGAAGGGGCTTTATAGAACATTTGAAAAAAAAGATATGTTGTCACCTTTTGGCAAGATTTCATTAATTGTATTGAAAAGCAAAAAAAGTTAAAGTCATTTAAAATTCAAATACACTATTGTATACCATTTTCTTCTGAAAAAACAGTTTTTTATTTTTGGTGCGAATATTCCCTTTGACCTTGATGCATGTGTCACATGTGGATCTTTGATCAACATTGACTTTCCACATGCATAAATCAACCACTACAGAATGATAAAGCATCTTATCATTCTGTAGAATTTTCTGAACATTTTATTTTCACATAGCGAAATTCATATGGTCAAGCATAACTTACATGGTAACTTTATCATCAAAGGAAATACCAAAAGTATTATTCTCTTTAAAACATTGCTTGCTTGTTAAAGCTCGATTTGTATAATGATGTGGTAGCATTCGTAAAAGACCATGGTAAAACTGCATGAGACTACACCAGCCCATTGGTCCAACATGGTTACACTTATGGTCGGCTTTTATGCCATTTTTATGTTCTTCTCGGCAAGTCTTGCCACATAGCTCAAACTTGAATTGCAATGCCAGCCTCAAATGCAAAGGCCTATGAAGTTATCTCTTTCATCATTGGAAGTGAAGTTTCAAGAGGTCTCTCCAAATAAAACGGAGACCGTAATTCTAAAAACTCTCAAATTTAAATTTTTTTTAAATCTCAAATTTTTTTTAAGAATATTTCTATCATACAGTTTATTTTTTAGGGTGGTAGCAAATATTGAATCCCTATTTAATTTCCTCAGGTTTTTTGCCAACCTATAGTAGATACACTTGCCGATCCAAAAATATTACAACGCAGGCAAATTTTGCCGACCTGAAACGGGCTCGGTTCTTTGCGTATCTATGTTGGTAACGCTGGTTTTAAAGAGTTGCTTTAGTTCTCATTTATTATGAAATGTGATTCACAAAAGAAGGGCTACTGATCAGCAAATGGTTAAAGTTGTTGATGATTAGGCAGAGGTGCTGGAAAGTGACAATGGTTCAGATATTTTCTATGTTTGTCAGCTTCAGCTTGTGTAAGTGAAAATTTGTTTGGGAAAAAAAACGAGCCACTCACTTGAGTTTCTGGCCCATACATTTTAAAGTGACTGTTGTATGTTTGACAATTAGGCCGTTGTCAAATAAATTAGACACATGTTGAAATGTGTAAATGAGACACATTTTTATATTTATAATTAATATGTTGTGATTTTACTCTGTTTTAGCTAAAGCTTGGACAAGGCTATATGCCTCAGGGAGTTAAAAAAACTACGGACAGTAGAGCATATGATGCATGGGGAAGCTCAGATGATTTGAAGTTTCAGCTACAAAAGTGAGCTTGCACCATCGTTGTTTAAAATAATTTCTTAATTTTGACATTTCACTTCCAAATACCAGAAAATAAAGTTTTCACCATCGTCCATAGAAGTAAAAAATCACAAGAAACTAGAAGGGATAGCAGAACATAAATTCACCGAATATAGCGTTTTATGCAACGATAACTGAATTCATATTTTCTGGAACTAAACAACTTTTCTAGGGAAGTTTATTCGTTTGATCAGCTGATTTGTTTAAGCTTTATCTGTCATTGGGTCTGCTTTTAAAGACGTATATCAAGTTTTGAAAGCAATACTGCTCATCTAACTGATTCTTGAAGTTAGACTTTAGCAGATATTCCAGATTCCCTTCAGGCCATAGCATTCGTATATGCCTACGCGTTTCGCAATATCAGTTGCCTACAAAACCAGATGTCTTGGGTTCTTTTTTTATATCCCATGCTTACACCTATTGGCTTATTTCCAATTTGATAACAAATTATAGCGTTTTAACTCCCTTTATCCGAATCAAGCAAGTATTCCTCAAATGAGGTCTGGATCTTATATGTACGTGTTGCTGTAATTATCGCCTAGTCGAAAAGAGAGCTACTAATATGTATTTAGTGTATCGTCATAACATCGGTGAAAAGCGAAGCATGTCTTGTCATTTTCCTTCAAGAACCTCTGTTCACTTAATCTGCCTATTAACACAGAAACTTGGAATGGGGGCAGGGGTGGGAATGTTTGAAGGTAGGTAACGTACATTCTGCTGCTGATTAAAATGCATGAGGAATACCGTAAATCCTCGAATTGCCCCCCCCCCCTCGAATAAGCCCCCACCCTAGAACTAAAAATTGTCAATAAGCCCCCCCCTTCGAATAGGCCCCCACTGCTACTGTAAATTCTCGAACCCCTCCATTTGATGCTTTTTGCCATCTGAGGTTGCCTATGGCGTTTTATTGAATTACCACAACAGATTTATACTTCTTGTAGTAATTAATTAAATGCTCATAAAGAAATTCCTACTAGAATAAACGAGGTATTTTAATAATGTCTTCTTAATGTCTAGAATAATTTTATAAGCCCCCCCCCCTCTCGAATAAGCCCCCATCCAAAAATATCAAAAATAAATAAGCCCCCAGGGGGGTAATTCGAGGATTAACGGTACTTGAGTTGATTTGGCTGAACTCCCCTGTTGGGGCTTTTCTTGATTAAAAAATAGATACTCTTGGCAGGAGAATTTTTATCAGTCACTACCATCTACAGCGAACTTACCTGAGTCGGACTTGCATGATTCGGAACTTCCCTAGCTCAGATGAAAAGGTATTTTCCCTGTCCATTTGGTATAGAAAGCTATCTATTTTAACCGCACAAGTCGGATTTCGTAAGTCGGTTAATTGCGTTAGTTGGACCTTTTCATGTCCCTCATGGAAATTACATCACATAGACTATACAGTACCGGATTTTGCACATTCAGGGGTATTTTATGATGCTCTTTCAGGCTCCGGAATCAATATTCAGAAATTCTAAAAATATATATTTTATTACGTCATCACTTCGGTACTCTCATCAAATGTTTATCTCATTGTTCATGCCTGTTTTGGAAAGAAACTTGTGACTATTTTGGATTCTTGGAGGCATTATTGATATAATTAACGTTATACAATTGATGATATTTCTATTCTTTATATCCTTGAGCTAATAGAAAGTTTTTTACTTTTCGGTGCTTGATACGGTTTTCAATTTCGCAAATCGGTTTTCATACGTGTAAGTCAAAATTCACTTGTGTCGGTCTATTTCATCTGGTTCTAAGAGATCCGTCCTAAGAGATCCGACTTGGGCGTTTGACTTCGTAGCCTATAAAACGTATGGTAAGACCAATAGTATCTGCAGTAATAAAATTTTCATAATTCTGTCCATAGTTTTCAATATATAGTTTATATTGGATACAAATATACTCCCCATATTTGAGTTATTTTGCGCGTAACATATCGACCATTGGGGCTGAAAAAGTCAGTTTATTCTGAAACTCTATTCTGGCACTTAACCTTTTATTTCAACACTTGAGAATGTACAACTTGACAATAGCAGGCATTATCTTCCAATTTCTACAGTGAGTTTCCGTGAAAAGAGAAAGGGGTTGTCTGTATTCTTAATAAATGCTTCAAAAATACTTTTGGGATATGCTTAAAATTGGTTTTTTAAAGAAATCAGTGCGCATTTACACGAATTTGGTCAACCAAAGAGGCAGGTAGAGTTTAAATAGGAAGGCTGGACGGTAAATGATCTAGTTTCAAACCAGATGCTCCAGCAGCTTAACATAATACTGCTGCTCAAACATCAGAAGTCAAAATTTGAAAATTTGAGTATATTTGCTAAAACTGTTTACTGGTTTTCAGATTTATGTCAATATTTGTCCATATCTCACTTAAATAAAAAGGTCTCAATTTAACAAACGCTCGACGATTTTTCTGTATTTTGAAGCGTTCGCGAATCTAAATCCCCCTGTTTCTGTAAAATGCATTTCAAAACAGCCTGTAGACCTTTTGGGACGTAGAGTTGTGCCCCAAATAATTACTGATTCAGTTGCTTTCAGTCAGTTGCTTTCCAATTTGACAGCGTGATAACTGTTGCTTTAGATTAGCCGCAATCTTTGTTTTTCGTTTTGGCTTGCCTTCTTTACTTTCAGTCCTTCTGCAAGATGAGTTCGCTTGCATGAATTTGAGGTGCTCGTGAGTAAAATAAACTTTCTGTTCAGATATCTATAAGTAAGTGCAGTTAAAAAATAAAAGCATTTGTTTCAATGAAGTGAAAGCAAAGTAATTTTTGAAGACAAGCAAAGTATTAATTATCTCAGAAGTATGAAAATCCTTTAAAATATATGGGGTCTTAGGTGCAAGCATGGCTTTTTATTTACAATCCTCGTTTTGAAAACGAGGACTGGATGAATTATTCCATCAGTTTGGAAATTTTTAAAAAGTTTAAAATCTTTGGAAAAAAGGAGACTTCTGAATAACTAGCAACAGTTAGCATCGCTTTTGAGTTTATGGTTCTGACATACAACAAGGGGCGGAGCTTACCTACTTTGAGAGCTCCTGGCCTTAAGAATTCCATTACGTTTGGTTATATTGTGTTGTATAACAAATTTTGGAACGCCGAAATTTCTGCGGGGCCGTGGCACACAGCATCAATACCATATCAACACTGAAGGCCAAATAAAGCTCTGCTGCCAATCGAATTTTTTATTTTCGCAGCAGGAAATTCTCGATTCCAGTAGTGCCTCGTCACAATTTTCTGCTATCTTCTGATAGGTCAAATCTCAAAAACAGAAATTCAGAAGTTTTTTGTTTTGATAAATCAAAAGAGAACAAGGTATTCAACAAGAAGAGAGGTTTGACCTGTCTTGGGCGCTATGCAACACATGTTCAAAAGCTTGACAGGGTCAAATATTTTATTGATTGATTGAAAGCGAAAATTTAAGGTGTAATAAAATCATCCGGGCAAAGATTCACTTAATTCAAAATATTGAATTATTCAGAAATGTTAATCAAAACATGATTCTAGGTCGACGTGCGGCTGAAGACTCGCAAGCTGGAATAAAGACTCGCCATTCTCCGCCACAACTACTATTTGGGAGGGGGCGGAGATGGGGAAGGAAAAGGATAGGATAAAGAAAACTGCGGGAGAAAAGGAAAAGTGGAGGAGCTGCGAAGGAGGAAAAGAATAGCGGCACTTCCTTTCCTCTTCTCCTCCGCCCTCCCCCTGCGATTCTCCGCACCTCCACTTTTTGTCACTCCCTATCTCTCTATACGATAGCTTATGTGGAGGAGAGTACTAGCTCATGCCCTTCACGTAAAATTTGGATGCAGGATATTTGCTATGACGGGAGGAAGTCATGGAACAGGAACTTTTTTCTCAACTTTTTTCCTCAATTTTTTTAATACTTGCAATCAAGGTAACCTCGCTATTTTTATAGTAGTTAGTTAGGTTAAAAATTTAAATTTTTATTGCAAGCTTAGAGGTTTAGTCAGTTGTGATTAACAAATCTTTCCCAAAGTTGACTTCCCCCACCTATTTACCCCGGTTTCTACATCATTGATAAATGCGTGGTTAGGTTTGGTGATCGCCCCCCCCCCTTCCCCCCTGCTTTAATCAATTAAAAAAGTGTTCAGCGTGACAAACTTTTAGACAAAGTTTCGCTTGAAAATTAATTTGTTCGAAATGGAAAAGTTGTCCTGCATGTCTAGGATGAAAAAAAACCAAGAACTGAAGCAGAGTATTTGAGTGCCTAAGCTATAATGACGTAAACGCTGTTATTGTTTTCAAGTGATGAAAATTAACTGGTCATAAAAAAGTAAGTCCAAGCCAGTACCAACATCCGTTCCAACGTCTAACAAAGTTTTTTCACTTTCCGTTTGACGCTTGATTGCCTGAACATCTAAGCTTTCCGGAAATTGCTCGTCACAATATTTGTTCAATGGGTAGAACAGTTTTTCTAATGAATGCAATCTGAAGAGAAATCTTTCAAGGGAGTTTGTTTATGATCGACATGCACTCAATATTGTTAAATTAGAGGCAACAAACGAAAGATAGACACGTAACGCATAGTCAGTCGTAACACATCATAAAGGGGGGGGGGGGGAAACAGGCCCCCCCTCCCGACCCCAAAAGTTATTAATGTATTTCTTACGCATCTTCGGTATTTTTTATGGTTTGCTTATGAAGGTGACATTTTTTGATGCAAGAAAACACCTTTAGTATGGCTCAATCGGTTACATATGGGAAATCTAACACAAAATTTTCCTTCTTATTTAACAATCTCTTTTTACTACTATCACCAGATTACGCTCCTTACTGCGTTTACCATATATGGGAAAAGCATACAGTTAAAGCAAAAGCGAAACTGTATTGAGATAAGCGGTAATACAGCTCATTTTAAACGGTAAATTCATTAAAATTTTCCAATGTGTATTCCTTCTCGTTTCGTGTACAACGTGGATATTGCTATTCGGAGTACAGAGCGTAACAGCAGTGTATCGTCTTCAAGCATCCTGTGTAGTCGACCAGTTTCACTTTTAACCCTTGACCTGGACCTCTCGTGAGCCTAACCCATTCCATGAGTTTGCCAGTTCTAGTCATAGAAATTGTTCTTGTCAAAATTCAAGCAAGCACAAGTACATTCCTATTTTTAGAATGCAGCTTGTATATATCACCCGTAGCTTGTAGTTAGGGAGATGCAACTGGACATGATGTATGACTGAACAATGTTTGTTGAAAAGAAGCTGACCTTAAAAGCCAAGAAGCTTGCGGTGTCTCTTGTGGCCTAGCTTATATCGCTTATTTAGAACTGGCAGTGGTTCTGAAAGAGTGTACTATACCACGTTGCACTCTTCAGGGTTTTTTTAAAGAAAGTTTAGAGTTGCACATTTTCTCGGGAGCACTGTGTTTAAGGAATGAATAATTCTTATAAGTAAGTATAAACTTAATGTACTTGATGCGCAGGTAAAGGTTGAAACTGAAAATATGCATGTTTCATTGCCGTGCTTATGGGAAATAAAAGTTATATAAAAAATTTTCTCTATCTAGATTCATAATGTAATATCAATTTGCAGGAATAGCAAGATGATTCTCCCTCAACCAGGAAGCAAAAATATTAAGTATATTATAGTAGAAAGCTAAATGTTTCAACATATAAGAACAATTGTGAGTTACTGGTTATATAGAATCACAAGGAACCAAACTCAACCATGTAGAGTCTCAAAAAACGAAATTGTGTTTTTTGGAACGACATTTAAAAGCGTTGTAATATAAAATTCTTAAAAAACTTTAGTATCGTCTTTATTTTGTCGAGCTATGCCAATGGAACGATATTGATGACGATAAAGCAAGGTATAAATAGCAATTGCACAAAAACTTTACAACCCGTGACATGGCTCTGATTTTTCCAATGTTATTTAATGCAAGAGTTTAAAAGGGGTTCCTGCTCTAAAGCTATCATTTTTGTGAATCATTTATGTGTGACCCCACAAATTTTCATCAATAAAACATTTCCTCACAATTGAATGTCTTTCTATATCAGTAATTTCTATATCCAAAAGGGTGTTCTTTAATTTTAGCGCCATCTTTGTAAGTTTGGTTGTGTTTCATCATTTAAACTTTTATTTGTTTTTTGTCTGCAACAATTTCCTGATTTTTTGTTTATTAAAGTAAAATTCAAAAGTTTTTTTTAGAACTGCACCAATAGTTTTTAGAACTGCACATTTTGTGTTGAACTGCACATTAAAAAACCCTAGTATTCTTTTCAGGTAGACAGTGCTGTTTAGTTTTCAGAATCTTGTGACTTATTGACTCGGTTTTTCTGTTAGCATTATTTTCTTACTGCTTCTATTAAAGATTGCTTTTGTTATTATGGTTACATTCTTGCACCTGATCCCGAATATCTAACCCTCTACAGCAACGCAGTACTGTACAAACATACACATTGTACACATTTTGTCTCAAGCTAGAGCAACAAAGCCAGTGTCTCTTGTTTGTCTTTAAAAGTTCTGATACTTCGCAAATTTGAATCTGAGAACTATGTGAAAGCCCCCTTCTCTACTCCCCCTTCCCTACTCACCCTAAAGGTAAGAGGTAGATCCAACGTCTCGTGACAGGATAAGGATATTATGCCAGTTTAACCAAGCCTCTTTGACTCCTACGTATAACCAAGCCTCATTGTCTTTTTTCGGGCACAATTATTGTTTTTGATACGTTGAATTGTGGCATTATATTGTTTCAATAGAAAATTGACATTGGAGTCTGTCCTATCGAGCCAGCTTGGCTCTTTCATGAAATTTTGCTAAGTACCTCATGGCACATGTCAATGAAATTTGTGGCACATTTTGAGAGACGGTTTATTACCTGTGTGATTTTCAAGGGTACCCTTTGGGGTGCCATTGACCTGAACAACCGTTGAAGTTCGTATTTTACATAACCTGCTTTAAACTCCGTTGCCAGTGGATATGAATGGAGAGCGAACCACGGCCACCTCTTTACCTGCCATGATACGCAAACATGCTTTGTTCCTCTTGTTAATAGCGATTATTGTTCGGTGCGCGCGAGAGAACCGTTGTTGCGTAGCGAAAAGGAATCAGAGACTGATTCAGGTCAGACTGGAGTGTGGGCTCGCACAGCTCTGAGGATCTAAAGAAAGAGAGCAAAGCCGGTTAATCGGCCTGTGGGACTTTCTTAACATTTTGAATTCCTAATAAGATAGATCAACACAACGGGTGTCAGCTTTCTATGATTTTTTCTTATTGCGTGGACCAGAATTTGTGAAGCGGATATCGACAAAGACTAACTTGAGTCAGCAATCAACATTTAACATCATTTCAAAGCTGATTTCAGCTCATCGATTTCTGGTATGTGCATTATATTACCTTTAACTACAGTTAATTTTACAGTAAGAATTATTCGCAATGATTATTAGCCGCGAGGTAAGCTTAAGAAATGCAAATTGCCTGCCGTGTGTTTATTTTATGCACAAAGCCAATGCAGACTTCATGGAAGAAAACATCAATGTTGCTCGGCCCTATGTGACTATTATTGTGAAATATAATGGCGAACTAATCGAAATTCGAAACGCAAGACTGCTTTGCGGCGAGGTTTAATATAATACTATAATATAAACAGCTGCTTGTGAAGCTACGAGCCTTTTACTGTAGAAAATTTAAAGATAATATCATAACAATATTACGTTAATCTGTATTGCAGATTGCATTATTGCATCCATGGGTATTTGAACATCATGATTTTTAAGGGCTCCTTAACCATCTGGTTTTATCTTGTTTACAAAGTTATGGCGGGGGGAATTGAGGCCATAAATGTTTACTTTCTTAACAATCTACAACAGGTAGATTTTCACGGAGCCTGAAACAGAAGTAAACAAACACGAATGCAGCAACAACAAATTTGATTTGTACAATGCTGCATCATCAACAGGTTGTTTGTTTCTTTCGCGCAAGTTGATCGCAAATTCTGCTTATTTCGTAAATTAATTGCCGTTGAAGTTGAACGAACTGACTTCTCTTTGAATACGCTGTTTAGAAAATTTGTCAGCCACACGAAAAGTTTAATCCTCCAACAATATGCTAAAATGTAATAGGATCATGAATTTTTGGTGTCCATTGGAAACGGCGAATGTTTTTATCAGAATATGCTCGGGCAAGAATCTATCATCTGGTTTTACGCCGAAAGCAACGCCTTTTATCTGGCGTGACCAGTGCTTGCTAGAGAATAAAGAGGAGCAAATTTTTAGAATATTTTGTTTCCGTATGACATTGCACTCTTCGTAATTCTCAATAGCCGATTGCCTTTCTCTTTGTAAAGCTTTTGTCTTCAGAATTAACATATTGCGTTTTTTCCTTCAAGAGGATTATTGCTAACGGCCGACATACCCACGTCATGTGTTGATATTGCTATCTCGGTGAATCTTCTTTATTACACTGTAAAAGAAAAAATGTTGGGTTTATGTACCAACGCCGTCATAAATAACCCAATACCTTTGGTGCATGCACCATTGCCTCCCTTTTTTGTGTGTTCACAGCGGAATCTCAGAATAAGCAACACTTCACATCTTATCGGAATAAGATCGTTCTTCCCTGCGGAAGAGGGGAAAATTTTTTCAGGAAATAGTGAATAATTAGGAAATAGGAAATAGGAAATAGTTGGTTTTCTCTTGCTTTTAATATAAGTCTTTGTTCTATAAAATATCCTATAACCGCAATTTCTTTCGTCCTCTTTCTGGCATGTGGTATGCGAAAATTTCGTTTGTACTTCTGTGAGTCGGACACGCCTCTCTGTGTTAGGTAAAATGGCTTTTATCACTGGGGCCCGAGATGGGAAGTTGACTCACCGGTATTAGAGTGTTTTGGTTATTTTTTTATTAAACAAGTTAAATGTTTTAACAAATTTCAGATGAGAATAAGAACCAAAATAAGAACACCGTGGAAATCTGAAATGGTTAACTAGTATCAAATACCTGCGGTGGTTTCTGGTAGTGACTGTCTTAAAAATTGAGCTTTTCAGCATAATAGATTCCCTAAATTCCAGACCTGTTCTTTTACAAGCCCAAATACAGCTCATCAAATATATGCTGCACTGGTCCTTGTCAGAACATACGCAGAGTCCACCCCAAATTTCATATTCTTTCATCTTTCATAAATCTTTCTGATATGCAACTTTTCTGAGTTCCTCTTCTAAATGTTTGCCAACACAAATTCTCGTAGATTGATCGAGTGCTTAATTCTCGACTTTTGGAATTTTTATGTGCAAACATGTAATTGTTAGAGACACTTTCTTGTCATCTGTTTGTTTTTAAGAGCAAACACCATCATACTTCCAGCGCAAACATAAATTGAATACAGGACTATCGGTTGAGTACAGGGCTGTTGTGTGCAGTTAGGTCTTTGTAGCAATCATTGTTTTGTGGCAGGTATAACGAGGCTATGGTGCAAGCTAGCTTTCCAGCTATGTTCGTTTAATTGACAAACAGCTGCTTGCCATCACCCTTGTATGCAATCAAAAAGGATTTGCAGGAGTGATCCCCTGAAAGAAGACCAACTATAGATGAAAAGGAGGCGTTTGGTAAATGGTTGACTTGGAAGTGTTTACCAGTCTCTTTTACTTATTAGGGACAGTGTTACGACTTGCCGATTTACCTGAAGTATCTACATTTTTTCCTGTCTTCTTTGCTCCTCTCTCCAAAACAATATATATCGCTTTGTTTTTGTTTTGCTTTTTGTTATTGGCCTTCTGTTTACACCGGACGCAGATCAAAACGGTGTTTTAAAACGGTATCGATTAATAGAAACACGAGATGGATACGGATTGAAAACGAGGCAGATTTCCTTTGCTATTATTTTTTCAATGAAAAGGACTTTAAGATTTTGACTCTGATAGCTATAATAGTTTTCTATTGCATTTCACCATGGTGTTTCTTCATGATGTTATGCTAGTTGTCCCGAAATTTATAACACTAATGCGTCTTGAGCTGTGGCTAACGGTATTTCACTTCACGTTGACAAGCTGCAAATAAAGGATGCGGAAAAACGATGAACCAAAGCTTATTGAACATAGAACAGCTACATGCAGTGTCTTCTTAACAGCCACAGTGCTTTCGATTTTCAATGAATTACTTTCTTTCACGGGTCAAACTGTTTCATTCAATTTCGAGCACGCAGCAACCTCATTGATTTCGTCATTCGGTGGTGGGTTTTTCTTTCCAGTAGTTTTCTTTTAGAATATTCATAAAAAAGGTCGATTTTTCAATTATATCGTTCGAAAAATTGTGTGCTGAAATGAAGGTACTATCTTGGGGTCTTTAAAAGAACCAGGTCCTATACCAAACTGTGGTCGAGCACTTAGTTTAGATCAAGGACTAGAGAACCTCTGAAACGTTGACATTTCATTTATTCATCAGCTTTGTTTAAAAGCACAACCTCTTCCTATCTAAAACTCCCCCTTTACAATCCAAATCAGCATCCTTTTATGTTTCTAGCTTCTAGCAATATGCTGAGCATGCGCGGATGACACGTAATCAGCAATTGAATTCTGCTACATAATAAGCGTGAGGGGGCTTATACGAGGGGGGCTATACGGGGGCTTATACGAGGGGGGCCAATTCGAGGATATACAGTCAAAATCCAGTCAAAAGGTATTGTTAGAATTAGAAATTAATTTGGCGTGCGGATGTTTGATCGAGGATTTATGGTTACCTCACCCCATTGAAGGCGCTTCATTGTTTTTGTTTGAATCTGATGTATCCTAAATAAAGCGAAAAGGAAAGACCCCCATGGGTAAGATTTCATTCTATTTCTTCTAGCCCGACAAGGACAGGGCCGTGTCATTACTAATGGACTTCCTATTTCCAGTTGTAATTTCTTGCAAATCAGTGAGAAACATAACTATACAAGTTTCACAAGTTTTAACGCCATTTACCATTTTGTTCCGAGAGTCAGCCATGAAAGTCTCTCTTTTCAAATGTAATCCGCTGAAACTTAAATGTATTACTTGGTGAAAACAGTCTTAGCAAAACTAATATTTTGATAAGAGCTCTGACTATTTGTGTAACCATATGGCCCTGTTATCCCTTTGAATAAACACGAATTGATATTGAAATAGTAGGAATTTGTGCGGTATTTGTAAGGCACTACTTTAGGCCTCTATGCTTGGCTTTAATCTCAATATTCCGTTTCTGTTTATCGATGGATAAAGCTGTGGTTCACGTAAGAACATTAGTCCTATCCGTAAGTGTCATCTCCTTGGGCTGTTGCTATAATCTTATTAAATCATACGTGACAGTTTCTTCAAAATAAGCACGGTTCATGGACAATAAACCAGCAAATGAAGTTGATTTAACTCATTACCATATGATTAGGGACGGATATACCGAGGGCTGTGGGGGGTGGGAGGGTCCGACACCCCCCCCCCCCAATATTTTGCATTGATCCGGTAAAAATGCATGCTTCGGTAGTCAGTAGAAACAAAATGATGTAGAAAGGTTGTTTTTTTTCATCTTCTTATATTCTTTATCTTAAAGGTAAAGACTGTATTTTAAAATGGGCGTTTCCATCAGTCACCTTAAGGGTGTGGCACAAAGTCCAATCATTTTCCAACACTCCCCCATTTCAATTCTTGCCGCTTAAATTCACCCCTGCATATCATGTTTAGAACACGCACCAGGTTAAAGAACATTCAGTAATTTTCTTTACCCTTCTGATTCTCGATTGATAAATTTTTGTTGATTAGTCTTAAACTTTTAAAGTTTTCCTAAACTATAGTTTTCTCACATGTTATAAATGTCTTCATAGATTGATGCTTTGGAAGCATTACAACACAAAGCGTTAACCTCTGCAAGGAAATCAATTTCTAGCGTTGCTGCTTACTTTTCTGATTGATATTAATCAAGCCATTTTGCTTTTATCTTTCCATCAGCCATGCTCTTGAGCTCTAGAAGAAGGGTCAAACATTGATTTTTACTCCTACTTTTTTCTCCATTTCCTTGGTAAGTTGAAACACTCAAGGAACATTTTTTGCACAGGCGTGTTGAAAAAAACCCCCGCATTTTTCTACTATCTGCTGCAACTTTTATCCCGTTTTAAAGCATTTGCAGTCAGCACAGACACGACATCTAGTGTGAGAGCCAAGCTGTTGAAAAGCCCTCACTTTTAGTGCCGAGAATTATCCCTTTTCTACTTCTTGCTAGTTTTTAACGAAAGTTTCGTCAATGTAACCGATGTTTTTCTGATAGCACTACACCCCTACCTTACCTGGCACTTTAACTTGCAGTCAAGAAGCTATTTGGTGAAATCTCTGATTTTATCTGAAAACATTGAGCCAATCAGTTGGCATCAAGGATGCTTAGCGTAATGCTAAGCAATGCAACTGTTGATAAAGTTTCTCTTCTTGGCTTCGTTTACAACTATTACACTTGTAAAAACCAGCAATATGTTTTTCACAGTCTTTTATCTACTTTCCACTTTCCAAATAACTTCTCAATGATAGGAAACTTGCTTTTGAAGTCTTTGATAAGGCAAGAACCATATTCTGAATAATCCAGCCATTTGGAAGTACATTTTGGAAACTTTGTCTTAATTTCAAGTTTGCGATTCATGGTGATTTTCCAGCCTTTTTGTGATCTCTTTGAAATTTTTCCTTAACTCTATAAATGCGGGAAGGAGCTCAATAATGATATCATCGTGTGAACAACTACCTGGATTAAGGCAAAATGCATGTTTTTTTTCTTTTGAGCATCTGGCAGCTGTCAGAGTCATTGGAAAAATTCATTTTGATGTTGATTACATCTGCTGAAGGAAAACACGTTGAAATTATTCAAATCAAAATACTCGAAATGAAATACTTATCCACAGTGCCTTGTTTGCATTTCTCCCAAAAAGATACAGCTACTGTGAGATAAACAGTTTTTAGTCTCTAAGGAATGCTTCATTGCTGGTGGTTTTCGCACGTGCTCACATCTGTACGGACAAAATAAACCTGCAGTCGCTGCTTTTTTCAAAATCCCCATCACATTCCCACCACTTTCTCTGCGCGACAAAAGTGTGCGCTGCGGCTTCGAGTGGATATATCTTTCCACTCATTAATACATTATGTATGCAATATGTATAAATTATGCGTTCGAAAACCTTTACATCCTAGTTCTAGAGACAGAAGCATTTTGTCAGAATTTGTTAATGTTCTCAATATCAAAGATGACTGAATGCATCTTCGTGGTAAGGCAAATTACGATGATTATAACAAAGCTCTTTCAGTGAAAGATTTCTGTAAGACTTTTTTATGTTTACAACTGTGCTATATCTGCTTATATGTATTGGAAAGACATCTTGCGAGAACATTTTTGCTTGATTAAAAAGCGTTCACTATTCTTACCTACCATCTTAAAAAGCAATACACTGCACTTCAGAAATGTGAATTTTTTTTTAAAAAGCGGTACATTGCACTTCAGAAAAGAGTTGTCCATCAAACATTTTAGCAAACGTGACCTGAAAAAATCTCTAAGAGGACAGCTAATTGGACACTTGGTTACCGCAAATTTTGTCACAGAGCAAACTATCAACAAGTTTCGTTTTTGCATGAATATTAAGACTATCTTATGCACTATTTAGGCCATGTCACTTTGTTGGTATGTTACTTTCAAACAATCATGTACAGTTTTTTCACACCAGCATCCTAATCCCGTGAATGCCAATCGAGGCTCAAAAACCCAGGATTTAACGTTCGTAAACGAGGCTGGTATTTTAATTGTTCTTTCTGAATGAGCCTCCATTGAAAAACTGATCCGTATTTACTGCACATAAGATAAAATGAAATGAAGTTCTGTGGAAAGGCAACTGCGTAAAGTTTTTTTGCATGCTAGGGAAAACAAATACCAACATTCTAGAATTTTTCGTAGTTTTAATAAGGCTAAACTTTGTTAAATATGTTTTGCATGTTTTGTTATCAAAGGGCTACGGCAAAAGTCAGGAGAAAGAACACTGTGTAAAACCATTTGTGTTGGGTGTGCGATGTTGATACGCAGTTTTCCTGAGCTAGTGTAGTCTTCGCAGTTTTCGCTCTCAGCCCTGAGACCTTTTAGAAGATTTGGAAGCAGCAGATATTCTTCTCAACTGTAATTCACCCGATATTCTTGCTATAATTAAATTGAACAGACTGTTTGATGATATATCATCACAAATAATCAGTACAAGACGACCTTTGATGAAACTGTAGCCAAACGAAAGGCGGTATGTAACCTTTGAAGAGGAAAATGGCCTGCACAATCAGACTTAAATGTTAGTTATGACAAAGAGATCTCTATTCCATGAAACTATATAGCGTACGAGTCTCTTGTAATTAATATATTAGTAAGCTAAGCGTTTATAGGTATTTTCAACTGAAGGATGTTATGAAAACTTCATTTTGTTAATTAGCAAATGAGGACCAGGACTAATTAGTTGGAAATAAGCAAATATTTGAATATTCTATATGAAAATTTTGTTCCATTTTATTGTCCTTAACCACCTAACGGGACTATGTATGTGCACTTAATTGCGCATAAGCAAGCGTTTAAAGTCAATTTTATGTCACCAAGCAGGTGTTGTGATAATTGCGGTATTTGCTTTATGCAAACACTAAAATACTCTTTACTTCTTATTTCATTTTCAGTTCATATTATTGTCACCAAGTTGCAAGCAAAACATTGAAAATATTCTTCTGAAATATTTTAACACAGATCATATTCAGTGATAGAATAATGTTATTTACTTGTTGAACTTGCACAGCCTATAGACGAGCTATGAAAGTTTGTTTGATACCTACTATCTATAGAAGACAGCAGAGCTTTTCGATCCCAAATACACTGTTCCAAAAACGAATTTGTAAGAAAACCTCACAGATCACAAATCTTTGGTAAATCACTTTGAATTTGCTGATTTGTAAACATTGATTAGACTCCTAATTTCAATTTATGCCTGGACAAGGCATCTATGAAATCGCTGGAGCGTGACCTTCAGAATCTATCAGCCTTTTCTTGCTTTTGTGAAATGAGTTTGACCTAGGCAAATATCCAAATATGAAAGAAATCGTCAAGCGCTAGCATTCAAATAACAGTTCTATGTTTTTAAAAGATTAGCAAAGCTGCAAGGTTTACAAGAAGCAAGCAGATGTTTGTTAGTAGATGCCTGATTATTCAGCACAATGCCAAGCGTGCATTCTTTTTAATCGCAAATTTACAGCTTAAATGCAAAGCCAGCCCACATTCCTGCTAACTATGGTTTAGAATTGACCGGCTGTCCAATGTAGCTAATCGATGTAAAAAGGAAATACGAACGTCCACCGTTGCTTTCATGTTTCACACTTTCCCACGAAAGCATGGCGAGAATAATAATTTTCAAAAAGCTTGCTGTTAACAAAAATGTGTTTGGAAGATCGTTGAAGCAGCTGCTTCAAATCCTTAAATTTCGAAATTCTCACAAAGACACCAAAAGTTATTTCTGATCGTGATTCTAACACATATAACAAACACTTGGTATCTAGTCATAATCAAAATTCAAAATCTTCAAAACCTGCTTGTTTTTTGACGCGTATGACAATATTTGAAGGTATGGTTTTGGCTTTCCTTTTGTCTAACTCTAAACTTCTTCTCTTTTATAAACTGTTAGAAGGGGATTGGAAACTTAACCTGAATCTCTTTTCAATTGACCTAATGACCAGGTTCATTCAATAGTGTCCATAATTTTTACACTTTTTATTTACATTTTTTGGTTTTATCTGCATTTCTCTGAAACCGAAAGATTGACTTGCTTGGAGCACCTCAGCTTGTAGACCTTCATGCATAGAACGTCGCCATCATTTGTATGTTTTTCGTCAATCGTGAACTAACCGAGTTATCATGTAAGCCAGTTCAATCAGTGCAATGATAGGAGCAGTAGATTTAGCAGTAAAAGTATTGCTTGCTAAAACATAATATGGGCTTTAGCATGACATTGAGAAGATGCTTCGCAGGCTCGCTATCGCCTATTGTTCAAATCGTCTTTTGCAAACACAAGAAAAGCGGTGGACACAACTTTCTTTCTTGCTTGGCAAGACTTTCAGAGAAGAGAGAAAATCGCTTAAACTTTGTTATGAAGAGCGAGCGACAAATTGGTTTGCACTAGTTTGATGATAGCTAGTTTGATGACGTCAAAGGCGTAAAATTTGCTAATAAAAGTATTCCGTATTTTGGAATACAATTAGCAAAGCAAAAATGTTTGTTTATTCCTTTCTCCAGCTAGTAAACATGAAATTGCGAAAACAGATTTTAGCACCTTTGCCAGGTCAAAACATACGCGAGCAATCTGAGTTGCTTTGTGCATATGGTTGTAAATGAAATCAGTCCGTGCAGCTTTAAATTATTAATCAGAGGCAGTGAAAAGGTATGAATGCATTGCCCAGCCAAAGCAATTTGCAAACAATTCTGTAGTGATAATGCACAGTAATTCATGTTCAAAGTTGCTGCTTTGGAACTAAACAAATTATTTCTTTTCGGGTTTGACACAAAACAAGTTCTCAAAGACAGAAGGCAAGCAAAAACTTATTTCTTATTCACTTGCTGTTAGAATTTGTGATATATCGTTTACATTTAAGCTGGCTATTACATTCAAGTTTCCATTCTTTCATCACTATCTAATCTGTTTCTGTGCTTGGCTATAACAAAATCGTCTGTGGCAGCAAAATGCAAAGTGTAAGGTTCGTGACGTTACTTCGCCGGTTTTACTTCTTCATACAATCGATCTAAACAGTTTTTTTGCCTTGTTCGTTTAACTTTGTTTGAATTGCTTCCAGCAGCCATATTTGAAGATTTCCCTCTCATCAAATGCGCTAACGCAGAATAATGAAATCCTTTAATCTAAATATTGCAATCGTTCAATTTTTTTTCTAAATAATCTTGCTATGACTTATACAACTGTAATCCAACATCATATTAAAAACTTTTATTTCCATATTGTCTTACAATAGTGAAGGTTTAGAGTTAAAATACGCAGACTCAAAAGGAAAAATGTTGAAAAACGGCTGATATTGTTATATTAACCAATATTTCGTCATAAATTCTACCAATAACAAATTGCACCTATTGTCTGTTTATTCTGGAGAAACCTGTATCACCTCTCCAGGTTTTGCTTTTCTTTCTGACATCGTTCGGCGAGAAATAATTTGTCACACGATAGAGCCACCTATAGGATGTATGCTCTTTTTCATTTTTAATTCCATATAGAAGTCTGTTTGGTTCTGGCAGTAGTGAGTGATTTCTAAATCTAGAGCAAAATAATTGCTGCTGTCTCTTGAACGATGTTTGTCATATAAAATAACTTAAAATATCATATAAATGGGATAACAACTAGTGTTATTTTGTATTTGTGTTGTAAAATACATTTTGGTATCTTTTTAAGAATGATGTTTCTGGTTGACAGAAGTTTTAGGGAGCAAGAAATGGAAATTTCTAGGCCTAATCGCCCTGTTCTATTGCGGTAAGGGAGGAGGGTCCTTTGGCACCCAAAACCGTGAAATGTTTATTTTCTTTTTGTCTTAAATATTTCTTTTATCGGTAGCTGCAAATTCTTTTCTTTGTTGAATAAGATGTTTGTTTACTATTTATGTATATCACAAGGGCCAGAGATTCTCTAGACTTATGGTAGTTTTATATAAGTCTAGTTTGTGTGTAATAGATTGTGTTTGGCATGAACAAGCGTGAAAAGGCCTTAAATTTGTTTAAACTTTATCTGTCTGATGAACATAATATATGGCTTTCACTCAGAACTAACAAGTTCACATATGGTGCCCAACAGGGGTTGGTTCTTGAGCCAGTGCTTTTTCTCATATACATCGATGATTTATTTGATGTTTCAAACAAGCTCAGGTTTTTCTTTTTGCAGATGACAATGTAGTGCAAAACAAGCAAAAGTTTTATTGTTCAAATTTGATGCGAATATTTACTTAGATCGTGACGATATAATAAAACTTGTCAAAAAATTGAAAAGGAACACTTCTAAAGAATGATTGACTGGATGCAAGCAAAATTTTATCAAATATAAGCAAAACTTATAGCATTGTTTCTATCTTTCCCACCAACAAACAAATTTAATACTAGAGCTAAATTTGTAAGAACAGTTTAAGACTTTTTCTGGACAGAAATCTCAGTTCGAAGAACCAGCTCTCCGAGCTTTCTAGAAGTTTTCTAGAACGTGTTTCATTTTCTTTAAAGTTAGAAGTATCCTTTCCATCAACATGTTACTAAGTATATGCAATTCATTTCAAGTGTCATTTGAGCATTTGATTATTCGTGTTGGAAAACTCCAAAACAGTTCCAATAGATATAATTTAATCATCATATATTGTTGAATTCAACCTAAAGAATTTAACCATGATATGTTGTTTTTGGGAGATTGAGGGTCCTTGTGCATCCAACGCTATCAAAACACAAGAAGTTACTTTTTAGCTAGCCTTTCACAACTTGCTTCAATAAGACGTGATCTTGCAGTTCTAAAAAAGACCAATCTGTCGCCTGGATTGCAGCATCTTCAGGAAAAACCGTTTGGTGTCGTTGTAGCTGGCCACATAAGGTGTTGCCCGTTGTGTGAATGCAATATGTTGAAAATACGTGAGGATACGTTCACTGCACACTACATTTGCACCTTAAAACTCTAATTTAAGAAATTAAACAAAACTTGATGATTTTCACTTCCAAGTGAAAATAGTTTTCCAGGTTAATTTGCTATTGCCGTAAGCAAACTCTGTACAGAAATTCGTTTCAGTCTTCAAATTGTGTTCTTAAGTGATGACGTCACAAAATTCTATTTTTGTAATTTTTAAATTAATCTGAAGTAAAGATCAATTAACCTTTAAGAGTTTCGTTGAGTACAACTAAATCGTTTTGTTAACGTACAAGATCCGTTGATTGCGTCACAAATTGGGTGTGACTTTGTCACATAAGTATAGGCTTTTTCCCAATCAAACAACTTTAATTTGGTATATTTTCTAAACTTTATGAATCAAGCCAAAAAACGGTAATCTGTTAAACAACTTTAAATCTTTCGTTCGCCAGATCTCATACAATTTTAAACATATATTGCCATCTTCGCATTTTCAGAGATAATTCTTTGTGCTCTTTCAAGTTATATGGTCAGAGGTCTAAAATTCTAAAAATATATGACGAAACCCGTTGTCCCGTCTTTATTTCAGCGCTGCAAAGCTACAATCTATGTTTTTCGGGGCTCATTTTATCACAGAATTGTATCCCAGCCAAAATGACTGATTTGAACAGCCTGACATCCTTCGAACGCATTGTCTTTGCATTTCACGGTTAGTTTCTTTTTCATGATGTTATTCTGTTTGATAAGGTTATGAAATCGCCCATTGGAACTAGAGGTCTAATTTTGCTCTTGTGACCTTATTCAAGAAGTCTCCAGAAAAAAAAATAGCCAGTATGTACTTTGTGAATGAAAGTAAAGTGCGAATTTTTTTCTAATGCTCAATAGATTCAAGTTGTGCATTGCTGACTGTTTATCATGGACAAACATAATTGTACCCTATCCTTGATCAACCAAGACTAGTTTTTGTTAATATATGAATTCTCATAAAACTTTACAAAACATACACAAGTTTACCAGACAATACCACAGGGAGCTTGGAAATATATAGACTTTCACCATCTTTCGACATGCATCAAAATGAGTTTTGAATCTGATTTACGCTTATAGATGACGTTATCCAGCTGATTCTGCACTGAGGTCGGCCATGATGAATATTATTATCATAATGAATATGCTTATCAAGCAATGCTAATACTTTCAAATCTGCGGTGAGGTGCCGCATTCAGTATTTTGGCCAAACTTTGTTGGCTACCATTGAGAATTGCTGGTAATATAAAAGGCTTTCTTGTCGCCAATATCAAAATAATCCTAATTTCAAGCTCCGTTGCTGACCTCAACTATTTTTAAGTAGTGCATGATCTCTATCAGTGGTCGCACGACAATTTTTTTGTTTTGGAGGGGCGATAGGGGCTGAGGGTTTTTTTGCATTTGCACGGCTCTAGCATTTGCTTCCAGTCAATCCTGCATTAACTTTGGTATTAGAAGCAACACACTTTAAGACTGTGGTGAGGGGGGGGGGGGGGGGTTGCATAGAATCGTGCAATTTCTTTAACAAATTTTGCTATGCTCGATTGTAAATAGCTAAATGAACTTGATACGTATTTGTTTTATTGTACACCCGGTAAAAAACTACCTTGTCATTCTGCGATTTTGCGATTGTATCAAGTTGCGTATTACAAATAAATTCACTTGAAAATGCGAAACTTTTAAAGAAGAAATTTCACTCTTGAATACGTTGATGATTATTAAGGCATTCAGCGCCTTGGTATTGTTAATGGAATATCCAAAAGATCTCATAGGACGATTGCAAGAAAGGCCCATTTAAAACAATGGCTTTATGATTTCAACAATTTTATGATTTCCCTTCTTGGAAAGAGTTTTTCAGAGCACAGCGGCAAGGCTTTTTCTAAAACGTAATATTGTTGAAATGAAAATTTCAGAAACGAGAATTAATGTTCCATGAGAATCTCTGAGTGTTTTTGGAGCATTCCAAAGCAAAATTACCACACCCTCTTTCACGCTTTCTCTTCACAGCCTACCGCAAAGCGAAATGTTGAAAACGAGAGACAAGAATAAAATAATGACAAAGCCATGTGTATATATTTTCCTAAAACATTATTTTGATAATGTGAAGAATCTCTTTTAAATCTTAAAATCTGTTTGGTATTGGTGTTGTTGTCGGGCAGTTTTTACTTCAAGATAAGATGCCTAGAGGTTCGACATTTTGTTTGGCAGTTTTGCATTTATTTGGATATTTTGCTTGTCGCGGTAGCGATGAAGACAAGCTCAGAAATGACTCAGGTACTTTTCCGTTAAAGTTCGTGTTTGTTTGCCTGATGTCTGTTACGTTTTGCTCAACTCTATCAGCAATTTTTAGTTGCCATAATTCTTTTTGCTTGCTCTGGAATATCTTGCAGAAACCTTTTGATTTTATATGCATCCTGATACAAGAAAATTAGAGAGACGGTAGTACTATAAAGTATATTGGAAATAGGTCAGTCAACGAACCCAAATGAAGTTGGTTTTCATAGAAAGTAAAGGTTGTCTTGTCAACTCGGTTGTTATTGTTTAAAGATTGGACTTTGTCATAAGCTGGAATAGAATTACCAGAAGTGCCTTCATTTATTAACCTTCCAATCCTATTGGTAAACTGTTTGCCATATAGTGTCCAGCAAATTTGCTGTTCGGTATTTTACCGCTTCTCCTTACTGGCCTTGTCATTGTCTTACTCCAATCTAAAAACACGTTCCTTGCAAATATTCGCACCTCTGATGTACTTTAATCTAACAGTGACTTGGCCCTTGAAATAGATACAACGCGATTTAATCCTGAGTGTCTGAAAACATATTCAGTTACCTCTGATTGTCTGCTAATGGTTTGCAATAACATTGTGGATTATCGCCAGCTTCCCTTGTTCATGGAATATGACTCCCCATTCTCCATTTGCTCAACTTCAGCAACGATTGAGGGTTTAGCCATACCGTTACATCATTTCCTGTAATGTTATAAAGGTTGCCGAGTCGTTATACTTTGCATCACGAGGCCATTTCTGTTCAATATGGCGGAGGAAATTATGAATTGATGATCCCCTACCTGACAGTTATAATTTTTGTACGTCTCTAACCATACCCAAGGGATTGTGCACAAATAGGAATATTGCAAACTATCTGCTTTTGGTCTGATACTCTTCAGAGTTATGTCATGGATCTAAGTAGGCCAATCAGAAACGTGAGCACATGTTTGTAAAGATTTTCCAATCAGCGTCGCTTGCTTATTTCGATTCACGACTGGGTATATATGTCCTAGCTTGAAGTTTTCGATCAATGTTTTGACGTTTTATAAACTGAAGAGTTTCAGACGAAAAGCTTAAGTTTGCTTCCTTCTTACTATCCGTGAAATCGAAGATATGATCTTTATCTGAAATTTATATGTTTTTATTTATAGTTTAAATGTTATATATTGATTAATATTCTCAGAGTTGGGTCACCAGGGACCACAAAGATTGCTCTGTTGCATGTGCAAGTTGATAAGGCATCCGTCATGAATCTGTCGAAATACGCAACCGTTTGGTTTCATAGTAAGATAATTGTTATCGTTTTTTAGATAAGTGTATTTTTACAGTTGTGCATGATCTCATTCAATTTCGTATCCTGATTATAAACATATGAAATGTTTATTTTGCAGACTGCGATACAAGCAAATTCAGCTGTGACGATACCTTAAGCAAAACGCAAGGCAAAACTGTTTGAACGGAGATCAGCATTGATTTGACTTAAGCTTTTCATGCGTTAAACAAACATCTAAAGAATCACCAGTCGATATTTGCAAGTGGATTACAGTGAGCGTGTTCTTGCTTTGAGCAAGTCGAGGCTTAGCGATAGTTTTTCCATATTTCGTAAAGAATAACAAGGTGGATTCAAGGATAATCTATCTTTAGAAAAGCTAAAAGTAATCATTGATCTGAGAAGCAAACAGTGAGCGAAGATAACTTCTTGTTTCTCGAGTTTCAGCTTTATGGGTTTGATTTGGTTTGGTGCCTGAGTTTGCAAGAGGCAGTTTGTACCATCCATGGGAAATTGAATTAGCAGACTTTGAAGTTACAACTGAGAAGAGTCAATCACTGAAATGCTGTTTTTAGAAGAAAACAAAGTTGTTAGGAAGACAAAGAGAAAGCTGTTGCTAGTGTAGCTTCTAATAACCAGCAAAGTATTCGCGAAGAGATGCTACTAACTTAAGATTTATTGTTTCCAATGACTTTGATTTATGACAGAACACCTGGTCTAGTCTAAATCAACCTCTTTGTAAAAACTAGCAGAAAAACTTAGGAACCTCAAATCTAGACAACGGAAGGGGGAGAATATTTGACGATGCTTGAGTATTTGTGGAACTTTGTTCTGAATGGAGGAGGTTCCAAAGTACCAAACCCTCCTGTCGCATCTGAACTGATATCAGAGACTTTGCTGGAGGAACTTCATGGGTGTCTTAAAGAAATCGAGACATTGCAGCAAGAAAAGGAGGCTAAGCGAAAGAAAGAAGCTGGCAGGCCTGACTATAGTTGGCTAGTTAATGAATCAGTAAAACATTATCGACTTCCTCGATCTGTGAAAGTCGAGGTCGAGGAATTGTGTACGCAGATTGACGCTGATGTAGCACCGCTCGTTATAAAAGATTTTAGGAGAATTGTCACGGAAGATACTCCAGTCGAAAAGATTCCGGAAGTGTTCAGGTGTGTCCTGAAAAGACAGTTGATGGTTAAGAATTTAAAAACAGAATCAGATAATAGGCGAGAAATTAGAAGAGCGAGCAAAAGTAACAAGTCTTCGAACAATATTTTTAAAAGACGTTTGGATGTGCCAGGTCTTAGTGACAGGGACATTGAAGCGTGGGGAAGCACCTCAGACGGGCGAGCTCAGTCTGCTCCTGCAAGCTCGTGGAGATTCTTTAGACAAGGAAAGGTGAAGCCAACAGAAAAACCTAGCAATCCTATGGACGATGTTAAATGTATTAGTGATAAAGATGCAAGACGAGCAAATAGTGTACCGACCATAACGACTATAGTATAAAGAAGGTTATCATTTGCTACTTAGCAACGCGTGAAATAAATCACAGGTGACTAAATGAAGGCCACCTAAGGTTGTAAAAGTTGGCCCATGTTTCCAAGTTCCGTCATCGCATTAATTTGCATGTAACTTGCTGTGTAGCTTATATGTGGCATTGGGTAGCGATGTCTTCGCATAGGTGATTCTTAAGATTTAGAGGGTGCAACTTTCAGCTAGGATCTAGGAGGTCCTCAAGATGGGGGGCTTGAGTAGACGCCCATTTTTAGGGTAGGTCCCTGTTCCAGAGAGTTTGTAGGTGCGCTTTCGGCTCAGATGTTAACGCTTGTGGGAAACAAACGCATAAGAGTGATGTTAAGGGGCAAGTTCCATTCTTTCATCGATTTTCGATAGGATAGGAATCAGGTGTAGGCAAAGATTATGTGTGTTTGTGTCTGTGTGTGTGTGTGGGGGGAGGGGGGGTATTTAGACTGAAAATTGTTCAAGATGCTTTTAATATAGATTCAGGTGATTCATTAAAACCTCTAGTCACTCCATTATCGTGGTCTCTTGGTTTAGTTCCTTACCTAAGTGGTTAAGAGAAAACTTTTCGTCTGGGAATTTGTTGGTGTCTGCTCGTTTGTTAGAAGGTCAATAACATTTCCAGAAGAAAGGAGGGCTTCAAGGAACCTTCAACCTTTCAAAGGAAAGTGGGGTGCATTCCAATTGATGCAAGTTCTTTTTGGGCAAGTACTTTATAAAAGCTTTAGAAACTTAGTACCATATTGTGTTTGGTATTAAGATCTCTTATCGCGGGAAGGGCATCGGCTAATACTACTTAATCTTTACAACAGGGGTTTTCTGGCTTTACGAATCTTTAAATTTTTCTTGCTGGTGTAAATTTGTACCTTGTTTTCATAATGTATTAGTGTATAATTAAATTGAGCGGTATGGTTGTTAAACAACAGTTTCATAGTGTAATGCATCTTACATTTTTGAACCTCGGATTAATCTATGATGTGAAAGTAGTATTTGCCTTGATATGAAACGTTTTCGTGACCTTCCTTCTCTCAGAAACTGCAAAGTTAAAGATTTACTTCACCTCGGTTCTACAAACTGTTGCAGAAAAAAGTGTTCTCCTTTGTCTTTAAAGAATCAATCTGACTACACAATGCTGGAAATGGCAGTGCATTTGTACTCTGCCCCAGAAAAGCAACCTTATTATTGTGAGTTTAAACCATTAAGGTCTTTTTAAAATGTTTTGTATTGATCTGGTTAAACAAGCACTAGTAAGGACACAATCAACATGCTTCTAAAGGAGACATTTTGCTTCTTTAGAGAAATACCTCGTGTCACTGTAAGGCAAGCTCGTAATGAACATGAATTCTCTGTCAATGCAAAAATGATATTTTCAATTTTAGACATGGACTAGACTTACTCCTTGAGCCTTCAGTTTCAAACCAACATTGCTTGTGAGGGGAGGGGAATTATTTTGAAAAACATCTTATCTCAATTTGGGGTTTGTGAAGCATTGTAGGCATTGGTGCTGTTTAAGCTGCAGTTTGCTCGTTGTTATGGCGACACCAGAGACCCAATGGCATCAGCATCTCAGTGAATGCCGAATTTGTAATCTGGGGATTCTAATAAGAAACCCATTGTTCAAAGACGGTGATCAAGATTGAATTCCCAATGGCTTTTGAAAATTTGAACAGTCGTATCTAATGTTAATCTTCTGCTGACTAGGAGGTATGAGAAGCAAAAACGTTTTTAAATATGTGACGTCACAATCTTATAACTTTTTGAAAATATTATCAGACAAGAACAAAGTCTCAACTTGATTTCTTTCTATCAAGCAGTTTCATAAAAATTGATTGAGTATCGTCTTTTCTTTAACTGGCAAAGCTATTTGACAGGTGTGTTTGCCTCAAAAGTTTTATTTTTACAAGATCTTTCAAATACTATAGTACATCTAACTTTCATGCTAAATATATTTTGGCAGACAGAACTTCAAAAATATGTAGTTATTTAATGGGGAATTTGCAGGTGTTAATATTTTCACTCTTAATTCAACTAATAAACGTGCAGGGTTTATATGAAAGTGGCGCCCAATACTGTAGCTGCAGAAATGGAAATTTACAGCATGATTACAGCGAATGCTTTATTGCTGTATGATTTGCTCTTTTAACGTGAAGCACCCGGAGGTGTTGTACTAGGGAGGCTCAGGGGGGCTGAGCCCCCCTGTTAATGCCGTAAATTGACCTTTTACTACTTTTGCTATTGTTTTTCGCAACATTTTGTTTAAGAGTCCCTCTTGTTATATTGATGGCACCACACCACTAGAAGCACCCTCCGCATTTTAGCATTTACTAAATGGGATCATAGCCGAGTATTATTGGCTGCACGCTGCATGCTGTTACTGTCAGCTTTCATTATTGAAGAAAAGCGTTTTGTAAGTAGCTTCTTTTGCTGCGAGATGTTTCAATTTTATTAATTGGGCCTTACCTTAATCAGATAGAAATATTAACGACGAGCAGACTAAGTTTCAGGCGGTGGTAACTTAGAGCGTAAAGTTGTGAGGATCAATCAATCAATCAATCAATCAAAAACTTTATTAATGTGTCAAAAAATATTTAGCTTACAAGCTAATTGGGGACACAACGAAAAAAGTATATAAAGTTAAATTAGAGCATAAAATATAAAATTACAGTATAATTATTAAAACATAAAAATTTCTAAAAATCCTATTTACAACTAAACTAAAGTCTACAGTCTAAAAGAGTTTCTAAGTCCATTTTTCTTATACATTTCTTGAATTGGGTTATTGTTGTCACCTCCTTGATAGCTCTCTTCAATTTGCTCCACAGATATGGGCCAAAGTATCTTACTGAATGTTTTCCTTCTTTTACCGTACGAAATTTCGGAATTACAAAGTTGCTGTTTCTCAATTCATAGGGAGTTTCTTTTACTGCAAACAAATTCTTTATAAAGTGTGGGGCTATGCCGTTTTTAACTTTATACATAAGTATGGCAATGTCCTGAAGTCGTCTATTCTGGAGAGATGGCAGGTTTGCTTTCATAAGGAGTTGTGCATATGGCGTAGACTTATCATTATAAACAACTCTAAGGGCTTTCTCTTGGAGTCTCTCTATCTTTCTTTTATCTGCTACTTTGCAGAAGTGCCAGACTGTACTGCAATATGTTAAGTGAGAGAGAATGGCTGACTTGTAGATTGTTAGTTTCGCATTGGTAGGTATTATATTACGAAATCTAGATAAGACACCTATTCTCTGACTCACTCTCTTGCACAAATTGCTGATATGAGTGCCAAAAGTTAGCTCATCGTCAACCTCAACACCAAGCAGCTTAAGACATCTTGTTTGTTCTGCTTCATTGTTTTCATCAGCCATCACTTTTATCTTTATTTTGCTTTTCTTGCTATTTTGAATCACCATCGCTTGGTATTTGTTTTTGTTTGCTTTCAGATGATTGTCCTTGTACCATTGTGAGGCCGTCTTGATGTCTTTATTCAAACGCATCTCAACTTCATTACCGTTCTCTCCGGAATAATAGATCTGATGATCGTCGGCATACATGCTTATCTGAGAGTGCATTATTTTGAAGACCAAGTCATTTTGAAAGATATTCCACAACATGGGACCGAATGCTGATCCTTGTGGGCATCCTCTTGTTGTTTCCCTCCATTCACTTCTTATATTTCCTAGTTTGACCCTATTCTGTCTTTGCTCAAAGTAGGATGTTATTAATCTCAGAGAATCTTCGGCCAGGCCATAGGATTCAAGCTTTTTTAGCAGGAGACTTGGAACCATGGAATCGAAGGCTTTGCTCATGTCTGTTGAGAGAATGGCTGTTATCTGTTTATTGTCCAGGGCGAATTTCCAATCCTCAATCAGTCTCAGCAGCGAAGTTTCTGTGCTGTTTTGCTTCTTGTATGCTGTCAAGCACGGGCTTAGTTTGTTACCAAATGAATGTGTAGCTTGCTCACTGAGCACCTTCTCAAAAACTTTGTCAACTGCATTGAGAACTGTTATTGGCCTGTAATTTTCATGGGTGTATAACAATGAAAATGTAGGTGCTGTTATTTAGGGGTTTTGCATGAAATAGGAGATTCATAGTTTGATGCAATCCTATATGTCTAGAAAAAATAGGTTGTTCTTTCTGGAGCTTGCCTGCACATTATATAAAGATTTGCAAGAAAAACTTATTATCTACTGCAGGTTTGCAGATTTTGATTAAGTCGTTAGTTATATTTTTAAACGACCATAGTATTTATACACTTAATTCTGAGGGTACTTGTATAACGTAAAGCCATAATTCCTGTTATCTAAGCCTTTGATTAAAATGCATACCAATCATTTCGAATTTTGTTATTGTAAAGTACCTCTAAAACATGCATATTTCCTCTACCATATAGTTATTAAGCTACAGAGCCTCAACCTAAAATGAGTGTCATTGGAGCCTGGGAACGAATCTTGTTTCTAATATATCTTGAAAAAGAATAGCCTTGAAGGTTTCTGTGTCACCGTCAAAGGAGAAACAGATGCCCAGATGATGCAATTCTCGATTCTTGACCTGCACTGCTGTTTTGATAAAAAGTTTGAAGACAGCGACAATGAGTTTTTGATTAAGTTTCTAGCAAATTTGTTATGGTGTTTTTCATAGTGAAAAACTTTTAACAAGCCAAAACAAATAGTAAATAAAGACAACAAAGGTAGTATTTTTCGTATGACTTTCAGACATTGATACATGCAAACATGAATTGATCCTTTGAACCAGTAAGAATTAATATTGATATCTTCAATACGAAGCAAGTTGCCGAAACGAACTGACGACATTGTTAAGGACTAAATATTGGCTGATTGCCTCTTTGAAGACAAACCCGAAGTTATATGAAAAGGTTTTTAACATCATAATTGAGAAAAATTTATAGTTTTATTTAACTTCGGCAAGTTTATGAAAGCGACTGGCTAACAAATAAACAAAAAAATCTCACAGAATATTCATCAGCACTTTCAGTTACAAAAAGGATAGCTTTATAAGTAAGAGGCATTACAAAGAAAAGCGTTTACAAAAGCGATTTATATAATTGTGGACATTCACAGAAATAATTAATGGCATTATTTACAAAAATAATTAATTCTAGTTCGCTTCGTCTTCTTCAATAGGAATCATATCACTGTCGGCATAAACCGAGTTTTACCCTAGGTTTTACCCTAGATTTCACCCTAGGTTTTACCCTAGCTTTCACCCTAGCTTTTACCTTAGGTTTTACCCTAGGTTTAACCCTAGGTTTTACCCTAGGTGTTACCCTAGGTTTTACCCTAGGTGCCAGAGTCTCCATAGTTTAGGGTCCCAAAAACAGTTCGAAACTAGACACAGAATATTTATTTGAGCGACTCATTCTTTGCTGCCACATTGGTCTGCAATAGTTAATCCCCAGTTTATCGGTTTCTTGAAGCTCTGGTAGGCTGGGTACCTAAGCTTCCAATGTAATCAGAAGCCACTTTTTTTGAAACAATCTTATTAAATCTACGACTTCCATTCGAGAAAATCTACCCAAACGATGAAAAAAATGAGCGTCATCTACTAGACTATAATCGCCAATGAAACTTTTAACAAATATAATGTTTTCGTGTAAAGTTTCCAGGTCTGTCTAGAGAGGCATGGGGCGAATCGCCTCAAACTTGGAGGGGATCCGAAATGTCATAGTATAACTTATAGCAAGCAGTTCTTTGCATTATAGTTATTTTTATAATGTAATTTGTGTGAATTCAAGAAACATTTCTAATAAACATTGTGCAAAACTGGTTATTGCTAGCGGTTTTCTAACAATGATGGCAACAACAGCAATAACAGTTCCAATGACGTCAACAGGAGTTCATTCTTTCCCCCAGGCCCCAAAATAGCTTTCGCTGGCCTTTAGAGGTTCTGTTTCACCTTTGAATGGCTTTTCGGGGATAAAGAGACTTGTAGCTCGGTAGGAAAGCCAAAAATGTATTGAGATCCATTTTTGTGCCACTGGGTAGCGTGTGTCACTCAAAATACTTTTTATAGAAGTTTTGATAATATGGTCTCTGGAACAACATTGCAAGTGAAAAATGTAGCAAACTTATACAAAACCCGCTGAAATTATTAAACATTTTCTGAGATATTGCCGCAAAAGAAAAATTTGTCATTGGCTCTAAATCTAAAGCAAGGTAAATAGATAGTAATGCTTTAGGAAACTTAATGAATTTCAGTAATTTAATGGCAACACTTAACTTGATACATAAATTTTTATAACATCTACATTTTTCAACGTCAGTTTTCTGTTTCAGCTTCATATTTACAAAAACAAGCAAGAAAACACAAATTGCTATTATTTAGTATTTAGGCTAGACAAGTTGGCTGAAAAGAATCTATTGCAGAAACGGCGCCACAAAATCGAAACAAGAGGGGGGCTAAGAATCAAGTTTAATGATATAGGAGGATCCACGGGTTGGGTCCGACGCGAAAGAGGATTCTTGAATTTAAGCCTTCAAGAATGGCTTGAAATGCATCTCCCAGACTGAAATTTAACAAATAACTTTACCGCTCAGAATAGACAATTCGACGACTTTCAGAAAATCATTGATTTTTGGGAAAAAATTGGGAAGGGTGGAGTCATGCTAAAACTCTAGTGAACGACGATGTTAATAACAAGAAACTGTTGTATTGATTGAGAAAGTTTTAGATCCAAAACAAAATTGTGGATCTTTTTTGTCTCGATTATTTTCTGTAGGTCATGTTTACACATCCAAAATGGCTTTGAGAATGCAGACATTGCAAAGATACAGAAAGTTATCTGCTGAATTGATGCAAATAATAGACAAATAATAGAAGTAGACTTGAACAAGTTAGCAAAAAGATAAAAGAAAATCAAACAGTATATAAACAGTTTGTTATCTTTTTATTTCATACTCAAAAATGATAAAAAAGGGTAAAAAAATTCGTATTTTGCATGCGGAATTCTGGAAATTTCTTAAGAGAACGCTAAAATTCTCCTTACGATTTTCTCAAAAATTGTACACGGAACAAGGAAATTTTTAAAAGGCTTAACGGCTTTGCAGAATTTAATCTTCTTTTTTGTAAATAAGGTCCTGGTCACATTTTTCTTTTCTGGCTCGCAGCGACTATCAATACTAAACCGGATCGGTTGATTTAAACAAAAAATGGGCGGAATGGTGGATTTCTACCCACCCTGATGATCCACACTTTTAGACATAGTGCCTTATACCCCTTTGACTGGCGAACTAATCGTTATTATTTCCTTGTTTTGGGCAAAACGAACTCTAGAGTTTATAACCCCGAAAATGTGTGTTTACGGTATACTGACATTCGTCAACAAATCCCAGCTTCCTCCCGGAGGCAAAAAATCGTGCACGCCAACCAGAAAGCTTTCAGATGCACGAATCTGCGTGAATGCAAACCCAAGAGACCTGATAAATTTAATTATTTCTTGTATTTGTCGTGCCATTACAGTTAACAAAAACTGAAGAACTTGAAAATGCACGCTTTTGAGACGAGAGGACGAAAATAATGTGGACTTTCTCACTTGGGATTCCTCCCTCTTTTGCTTTAACTTAATGAGGACAGGAAGATTTGGCTTCAGTTGTTGAAGATGAGTCGCAGAGCGACGTTCGGAGGGATTGTGAAGCGACGGCTCTCTGGAGCCTTCAATGCATCCGTCAAAGATGTCGGTTCAGCCAAGAGCAAAGGCTCTTCGGCCAGCAGACCAAGTAGCGCCAGTCGATTGACAAAGACAAACAAAGTGTAAGCCTCCAGCCCAGTCGTACATATCTTTCACCTATAATTTATTGCCTTTGTTTGTATAAAAAATAATGCAGTTTAAATACTGTTTCGACATTCTCGTTCACTCTTACGTATTACATCATAGTGATTAAATACTCATAAAAACACATCTGAAATGACAATTGTCAGTCTATGAATATGTCCATCATTATGCAACATATCGACATCCAAGAGATTGGCCTTAAAATTATGCCATAACGAAAATATTCACCCCAAAATATGTTTTGCGGAATAAGCCGCTGGGATTTATTGTGACGCTCCGCCGCAGTTCACTAGAATTGGAGCTGCTGCGAAGGAGATATTTTGGCAAAGAGCGCCAAAACGAAAACTCAACCGAAACAAGGACGACAAATTTATGAGACAGGACAACTGGTTTTTGACAAAAATTTCAAGATGAAAAGGACTACGCCAATGTCCCTACATCATGACTCTGTGCGTAAACGATTGTCAGGCGTGTTTAAAAAAAATAGAGACTCTATGTTGAGCAATTCAAGGCCAGGAAGCGTGAGCAGAATCAACTCTGTGAGAAGGTAATTTACTAGCTCAAATGTTCGAGATAGGGCCTAGGCCACTTCTTTGATGTAACTTTGTTGATCGTAAGAACACTTCTACTTTGACTCAAAGTAAATTTTACGGTGTTAGTTGTTGCAGATAATTAAGTGCCATTTGGTATCTTAGGTTGAAGATAAGGCAAGGAGTAAAAAACAAAATTCAAAATTGTTATTGTCAGTTCTGTTTAGAGTGATTTCAATTTTAAAGTTCCACAGACATACACAGATCGCTTTAAAACTAAAATACAATTAAATTTAGACCTGTCAACCTAGAACTTTCAAAACCTGGAGATTTTAGATTTTTTTCTTTAAAAAGCAGGGAAAAACAACCTAATGAAAACAGGGAGATCCATGGAATTTGTTGAATCAAGATAAAATAGTTTTCATTTAAATAAAGAACTTTCATTAGGTTAACTTTATAAACAACAAACCTGGAAAAGTCATGCTGGGAAAACAGTTAATGACAAAAAATATAGGAAACTTTTTCATGATGCTTAATGGCTTTTTCGAGTTTTTCATTAATTCGGTCAAGCACTTATAAAAATGTTGTCATGAAGAACGCTATTGCAATCATTTTTGTTATAAGAATTCCTCTGCTAAAAGACACAGAATAAAAAGGGAGAAAATCTTTAAAAATCAGAAGACCAGGAGAAAGCAAGCAAAATCTTGGGTCTTCTGACCTAACCAGGAGAGTTGAATAGTCTGTAAATACCAGTTACAATCACAACAAGTGGTCAAATATATGTGATAAACTATAATACATAAGGATTACATTGAATTTCCAGTTTGGCATCCTTAATAACAAATAGCCTGTTGTTTGTTGTTGGTAGATAGTCACAAAATGGTAAATGCTTGAACTAAAGTACTATATAGAACCATAGGCCAAGAAATGTTAGTACTGCCTAATGTGGTTTTTAGCAGTATTGAAATGGGAAACAGCATGGGAATCAATCCCTCATCATCTTCATTTCCTCATTCTCTGCTTGGTGGACAGAGGGAGAATGAACCCAATCTCAATTTGAATATCAATCCTTTCAGATTAAAGTTAGTTTCATTTGAGCCATCATGTCACTTTATATGTTATTGTGATAGGGTTTGTGAAAGGAATGTCTTATTAGAGTGAGTTGTTTTCTCAAAACATTTTATGGTTCTGGTTTTTAGGAAAGGAGAACCTGGAACCATGAAAGATCCAAGGAACCTTTCAAATAAAGGTTTGTTTCAAAACCTGCAAATGATATCTCTTATGTTTATTTTAACATTGCTATGAAATGAATTTTAACATTTCAACCACAGTATGAATTCATTCCTTTAAAACATGGAGGTGTATGAAATATTTTGGAACAGTGACTCTTATGCAGATGCTCAACAATTCATTAGCCCCAGCGAGATTAGATTGTTTCAGTTAGATTTTTATTTGGACATGTGCCTTCAAAATTCTTAAATTTTATGCAAAATGGACTTCTTTGCGCCAAAATCAAGGAAAAAGTGGGACTTTTTTCATGAGTTTGCAGGTTCAATAAAAGGGAAATTATAAAGTTATACTTTATCTGAATTGAAGGATGTTAGAAGGTCTTTACCCTTCAGTACAATAATCAAGGAAGTCAATGGGGAAAGTGGGTGCCCATCAATGCCCCAAAATGTGAACTGTGAAACAATCATTAGCATTGCCATGAGAAATAATATTTCCATTTGAGAAGTAGTAATAATCAGCAAAAATTCTGATATTTTGTTAGTGACATACATCTGTCATGACAAAAATAGTCTTTCCAAAGGGAGGGACAAAACAATTAAGAAAATTAGGGGAACAAATCTAGCAACATAAATTTTAGCCAAACTGAAGTTTTTCAAGATGATACATAGTTAGGGGCAGATTGATGCAGAACTTGAGCTTGCAGTTTGAGTGGTTAAATGATTAACTAAACAATATCATTATATATCTTCAACTTATTCGTTGTGGTTTTGTTTAATTTCAGTTTAAACCATTGGCAACCATGTTTCCTTATGAAATCCACTTGCCTTCCATGCATCTTGCTTTGATAAGAAATGGGTACATTTGAGAATGCACTTTGAAAACACAGCAAAATAGAAATAGATTAGAGCAAAACCTACATTAGTGCTGATTTCATTATTACTGAAAATCAGGTACTCAGAGGAAATGTAACCAAAGTAATTGGTTTTCAAAAAACTTACCACAAGCAATTGTATTTTTCCAAGACATTGAAAAATTTTAGGCAGTCATAGAATTTTAATTAAATCCAATACATTTGGAGTATATATCTTATGGAGAATTGTTTATAAGGACAGATGTTTAAAAAACATCAATTTTAAGAAAAATAAAACTATCCTTGTTGTCATCTGTACTTGGTAAGTGTGAGGAGTTGGTGATCCTTCTTATTCAAGTGTCTGTCACTATTATTTAGCAATTCCTAATGCCTTTGAATCTTTAACATTCTATAACTTTGTACATTTTCATGGTTAACAATTCAAACTGGAGTATGATGAAAATATTGGATTTCTATAATTCTATGTTTGATGTTATGCAGTTTTTTATTGTAATTGTAATTGCTTTTTTATTTGTTTTAAACAGGTGTCCAGAAAGAAATGATAGATGACATTCTAAGTGTAAGTCAATACTGATATTTTATTCATTAATAAACTTTCCTTGCGATGTTACAGTGAAAGTCTCTTAGTTGTATCCATACTTTACATGGACAACCTTTAATATGTATGTACTGCAATCACATTGTTAGCATTTGTCACCTTGTTAGTTTCCTGCACTTTGGTTGAAAATAAACAAATTACTATATAACATGCATGTAATTAAACACACTCTTCTGTGTTGGGGAGACGAGAGTCATGTGCCAATGCTAAGAATGGGATTACACACCTTTCCCAGGAAGACCTACTGTCAATACTGGTTTTTTGCAGTTTCTCCAGATAAATGGCTTTCCACACCAAATATCACAAAAGATTTTACAAGCTCCATCTGGCAAGGAGTTTCGTAGAGTGTTTGAGGTTAGTGAAGTTTTTTTCTACCAAGTTGAGATTGTGAAAATTTTTAGGCAGGTGCTAAGGCTGCATTGGGTTACTTTTTCAGTGAGTCATCATGAAAGTTTGTTTCTAGAGTTTTTTGCTTTTGACCCACAACTCAAAAAAATGTCATGAGTTTCCTCTAAGTTTACCATGTTTCATCAGTCATTAACTGTGAAATGAGATGAGATCTGGCCGATGACATTTTATGGTGAAGATTTGGAGTTTCTAACGGATTTCTGTTATTTTAGTTTGGTTCATAAAGTTATAAGCAGAGGCCGATTTATAGTGATTTGATGAGGGAAAAGCCTGTCTGCTTGTGGCCATACCTCAGCAAATCTGTGATGCATTCAAAACATTTTGCACATTTAGCTATATTTTATTATGTACTTTCACAAGTTATATAATCATGTTTCCAAAATTCTTAAGTATAGATTTTTGTGACAATTTACAATAGACAGATTCTGAATTGACAGATTTTATCACTTAAGAACTCACCCGTGAATACTTGAACATAACTATACATGCAAATTGAAAAGTGACCATGAAAATCAGCACTTTTCACATAATACAGGCTAAAAAGATGAAGAACTTTCTTTGGATCTAGTGCCAAAACCTCACACCCCTTGATATGAGGCTTCACTGCTGGCAGATATGGATACAATCCAGAGTAAACAACAGTTCATTGTTGCACATATGGTTGTGCTTGGTTTCTTAAGGTTCCTTAAAACAGCCAACTACCTCTTAAATGGAAACCATAACAAAGTCTGATTCTTTATTCTAGTTTCTCTATGGTTTTATTGATAAAAATGACAAGATTGGCCCAAAATGGGAAGAAGAGGTGCCCAGGTTGCTGAAGCAATTGCGGTATCCCTTCCCAATTGCAAAAAGTGCAATGTTCACTGTCGGTAGCTTGCACACTTGGCCCACCTTGCTAGGAGCCTTGCATTGGTTAGTCAATTTTATTGAGGTATGTCAATAACTTTACATTTATTTACATGACAAGTACTGAAAACATCTCAACAAAGCCAGGATATTTCAGTTACCAGCCATCCTCTTCCTTGTCGGTCCAGAAAGTATTTCTCCTGCCTGTCATAAGTGCATTACCTTTATTTTCAATTCAACACCAACTTTTTTTGTCATTGTATATATATCACCATATTTTTAAGTATAATGCACCTGAAATAGAACGTAATGTAGTGAGTGCACTTTAAGAATAATATATGTAGGTAGAACAATGAAAAACAAAATATTGGCATAGATAGTCATTCTGGACTTGGAAAAAAGAAAATGAATTTATTTTGGTGGGAAGATGTTTTTTGAGATTCCCCAAACTGATTTCTGTGTAAATGAAATGATATCCAAAAGGCATTTCAGGAAGATCTTTTGCCTCTCTCTTTCTCATATGCAAATGATGTTTTCTAGATGACAAAAGCTTTAGATGTTGACTCCATTTTGTTTAATCCAAATGATGAATGCGACCCATTATCTGGTTGTGATCGGGTAAGTATTGTAAAACTCTGTCTTGTTGTTTCTAAGACATGTCAGAAACATGTAAAGCAGTCCTTAAATGTAATAGGGAATCGATTTTTAGCTGTGTTTGTAATTTCAGAGATTATTTGGAATATTTATTGCAGGGCTTGTGCCACTTCATTTGAAATAGAAGCTTCATTAATTTCATATGACCTATGACTAGTTTATTTCCCAAGAAGCTCTATCAGAACAAATAGAAAGTTGTCTTATATTGCTGCCTTAAACAGAGAAACACCACTTAAATGTTTACCATTCGTTGAAGTAGCATGCTCTTTAGTGGAAGCTGTAATTTTTGATAAACCCCTGAGCTTAGGTAAAATTTTTGCGATGATTGAAGTTTTATCCTCTCAGAAACACAAGAGCAAACTCTTGATTTTTCTTGTTATGTCACAAATCTTTTACCATCTTTGCAGATAATCCACCAATATTATGAGAAGACATACAGTGATTTCATGAATGACTACAATGACGCTGAAGATGATTTGAGACTGAAAGAGGCCATACGTGAGTCAATTACAACTATTTTGACACCTAGAAACAATTACCGGTCCAAAGGCATTAAACATACTTGTAAGGCTGCAATTTACTTGGCCTTAGAAGGGAGCGTCTAAGAAGAGGGCGCTAAGAAGAGGGCGCTAAGAAGAGGGCGCTAAGAAGAGAGAATGAGATAATGATCACTGGTTTCCAAAAATGGCCGAAATGACTAAAGGTATCTAAATGTCAACGCTTGGACAAAAGAATTGGATCCCCTTCTTTTCTATCAAGGTTCTTGTCATACTAGAAAACAAATTTGCTTATTAGTTTCATTTTCTTTGTTAGGGAAATTTTCCCAGTTCATCTTCAACTTGTATTCTAAAGATTCATACTGATCGATGAATAAGCACTTGATTTTTAGAACTTGGTGCATTTGAGCCACCCTCGTTAATAAGTTCCGTTTGTGCCAGAAGAAACCCCACCCTCTAGAGAATCTTTCAAGAGCTCCAAACCTGTACTTCAATGGAAATTTATCATCCTTTTTCTGATTAATGTTACCATGTTCAAAAGTGTTTATCAATGCAAAGATTCAGGAGTGCAAATACACACTAGTGATTACATTAGTGATTGCGACATTAATGATATAAAAGTTTGTTTCCGCAAGTGCACCACATTGTTTTATGTAAACCTTCTACCTGACATGTCCTTAGGGGTCTCTGTCGTCAGATATGTCCAGAATGCTAGTCCCCTACATGACTGTATATGAATTGGAGGCAACACACTCACCTTTCGCTATTTTGCACCCATTCGTCTGCAAAAACTGCAAAGACTTTACAGGTCCTAGTTGCATTACCACAAGTAAAAAGGCCTGGAATGCCGGGCTCCCAATAGGGTATATATTCGCGGAAAAAACCTTGCGGGTCCTTCCTAAGGTGAAAATTGTGGTTTCGCCACTTTTTGCTACATATCATTTACTAAGGTGTAAATTAGGATCTTAAGAGTTTACTCATTTCTTTGATTTCTTTATTAAACTCTAGTTTTTTTTCAGTTCAACATACTGGAGCTGCAGAAGATGGTACGTATCTTCAAAGTTTGTTATAACTCAAAAATCATATTTCACGTTTTCATTGGAATTGCATAAGCTCCTAAAATAAATAATTAGAAGTACTTTTTGTATCAATTCAAAAGTTTCTGTTTTGTATCGTTTCTGTTTTAATCTTGAAGTAAAGATTTTGGAATAAAGAGCTCTTTCTGAAACAAATAATTAGAACTGTTGAAATGTTTTTGCAGTACTTACTTTGCGGAAATTTGGCGAAAATTTTGTAACAAAACATAAGCCAATTGTATACCCGTTTCTCTACATAGATACTGAAGCATTGATGTCAGAAGTTGAAATGTTGCGTAAGAGGCTTGATGAATTGGAGGCTGAGCCGGTAAGGTTTAAGAACTGGATCTCTTTATACAATGGATTCTTTCTACAATGGATTCTTTATACAATGGATTCCCAACCCTGTTGCAATTTTTTATCACTTCCTAAGAAACTGGATCTCTTTATACAATGGATTCTTTATACAATGGATTCTTTATACAACGGATTCTCAACCTGCAATTTTTTTATCACTTCCTTGCACATCCCACAACTCACAGACAACATTTAAAGACCGTGAAATATTCTTAATTACTTTCAAAATCAATTTGCAGGACCGACTTAAGGAGATGCAAGACAACATTGCTGCATGGAAAGCGAGCTGGTATGATACATTCGCAGTTGCTTGAAAGGAGGGGAAACTAAGGGTGCAATCTAAGCCTTTGTATTTCTAGATTTAGCGTTTTATCGACCTTGTTTTCTCTCTTCCCTTTTTTCAGGTTTTGCTTCTTTTTTATGTTTTTTTTTCAATTGTAATCCCTTTCCAGCCCCAATTTTCCTCTTTTTTACAATCCTTGTACTTGAATGAAGACTCGTGGCAATTTCGTGTTCCAAACCAATATTAATCCCTTGAAGAGACATCAACAATGACTGAAATGTTATACAGTTGCCCCTAGACTAGTTGACACGCATCCCTATTCTTGCACTCCTGCCTGATTCCATTCATTTCTTGCGATCCCTTGTTATCAAGTAGACATTTCAAAGGTTAACTGTACAGTTAGTTGATCAAACAACAAGATTTGAAAGTCCACATCTGTTTTTAAGTGAAAAAATCGAACGAGAACAAGATGATTTAAAGCAACAAACAAAAATAAGAGAGATTGACATGAAGAATGTTGACGAGGAGCTGAAAAGATATGGTAATTGACTTAAGATATTATTTGTCTGCGATTAGTGTGTGATAATATTTCTATTGCTATTTGCTGGCAAAGCTGCTTGATAATTTAGCATTTTTCTGTACACAGTTAACTAGATTATCTTCAAACATGATTTTAAACCAACACCCGTGGGAATTCTTGTTTCATTGTCAAAATCTGTCGAAAATTTGCGTAATCCGACTTGCTGAAATTCCCACAGCTTGCAAGTTCTTAGCACGCTTCGTGATAAGACAGATCAAGAATTCCCTTTTTGGTGTGCCTTTTCTCTCCTTTTTGTAGAAGTTAAATTTTCTCTCTGTCACTTTCAGATTATAGACGATTCAAGCAAATTCAGGTATATGTAACTTTCATATTACTGAATTTGAAAATATGCTCTTATAGGATTGCACTGAAATTTGCGACTTCTTCTTACATAGTTTCAAATGGATAGTACATCGTTGATAGTAGCAAAAATGTTTTAAAACGTTTTAGCTCAAAGGCAGTTGTTAAGGAATCTGATCATAGAAGTATTTGATTATGGAAAGATGGCTTAGTGGAGGTCTCCTACAGCCAGAGAATAGTTTAGTTTTCGTTTTATATAGTTTACATATATATATAAAGACGTCAAAAGTTTAAACAACGGGGAGGCTATGGCTTGGCTTGCCTGTTTTGTTAGACAGTTGAACATAATCATTTGCAATGTGGCACAAAATTCTGAAACATGTCTTTGATATTTTTATTTAGGCATGGATCTTAGTAGCTCATTGCTCTAATCTGATTTTCTCAGGCAGCGAAAAACATTGAACACCAGAAGGAGGCTTTGACTAATAAGTTGAAGGCCACTGAGCAGGAGAATGAAAGATTACAAGCCGCTTGTTGGGAAAGAGAAATCAGCTATTCAAAGTTATATAACAAGGTGTGCTTTCAATTTTGTCTGAGACAGTTGATTTTCAAAGCTGTTTTTGTAGGGGAAACATTACTGCATGTGACTGCTATTCTACAAGGCTGGGACAACACTGATTCATTGTCCCAGACCCCTCGCATTCTTTGTCTTAAAATGAATGTAAAAGAGTTAACAACCACTGAAATCACCAAAATTTCAAACCAATTTTCAATAAAAAATGTTGAGTTGGTAATATAGTTATTTGAGTTACTCTCTTTATTGTTTCTTCGAGGCAAATATTTATTGGGATAGAAAAGACAAGATTCCTTATCAGTTGTTCTCGTGTTGATTTCGTTTTGTCCTTTTTAGGTGGACCAAACTCTGAAGGAATATGACGATCTTTGGCGAAACATTAAGTGCAATCCACGTGCGATGGAATATCTTCAAGGAGTAGACATTGGAATGAAAATTGAGCATGGAGAAATCGGTCTCAAGAATGCCTCAAAATTCAGAGACACGATCAAAGTATGTCATAGACCTTATAACATATAACAAAGTATAATAGATCTTAAATCATAGATCTTTAAACATACAACAAAGCATATCACAGATCTTAAAACATACAACACAATATATCATAGTTCCTTTTGCTCTGAGATCCACAGAATTCGACTTTTCACAATGATCAAAGTTAAACTTATTTTACATTGCTTACGTATTGCTGCTTTTGGTGTGCCCCAACACCAACGTTTTTGCATGACCTCATTTTTTCTTTGTGTTTGTCACAGGAAACCTTGATCAAGGCCCAAAACAGAGTCATGTCAAACGTGAACCAAGTGGAATCCCAAATTATAACCGAAGAAGAGAAAATGGAAAAGGTATTGTTTCGGATATGTGTTATTAACTGTCTGCGTTTAATTGCCATCAAAGCAAGTAAAGGAATTTTGCTTATTCATACAGCCACGTTCTGAGGCTAATACAACTGACGTCACCAACTGTTAATACCTACAGAAATCAATGCCTTTTAACATCTTTCCTGGTATTTATTTTCTTGTTTTGTTAAAAGAGTAAAATAACTGGATGCCATGTAGACTAGTGCTTTTGTTTCCTTGTATAATTACAGTTTTTGAGTCGGTTATAACTAGCCAAGTCCATAAACATGATCTTACAAATTTGAATTTATACTCTCTCAATATTTTCCGTAAAACCTCATTTTACATCCTGCTTGCAGCTGACAGATTTGATTAAAGAGAAGGAATACGAAATAGAGTCGATGAAATCGTTTTTGGATGCAGTTGGCTTGGAGATCGAGGAAGCGCAAAAGGTGCTGTAAAATTTTAGCTCTTAAGTGGCTTTTAAGATCTTTTATTAAAATTTGATGCGATAGATCTACGACAGTTTTAAACGATTTTGGTCTAACGATGGAGCAGAATCAATTAAACTTCATCCATATGTTGGTTTGCTTCTTTTTGTTTTGCGGTGTTCCTACCTATCATCAATACCAATGGCGGGCTGAAGATTATGACATTTTAAAAGTAGTTTTTGGTGGCAGATTTTGATGGCGGCATTTCCCGTCATTTTCGGTTGTCATACGCCACTTCTTTTTGCCCAAGATTCAACAACCAGTATCTCCGGTCTCATCAATGTCCGTTGAATATGTTTTGAATGTTAAGCTGTTTTAGCTGATTGTGAATTGAAAGCTAAGCATTTCCCTCTGTAAATTCATAGAAAGCCGAATCGGAGCAAAAACAAGCCGAAGAAGAGCTTGCTTCTTTGAAAGAAGAAATCAAAGCCCTTGAGCAAGGAAGCAGTTCTCTGCTCGACCGGAAACATAAAGCCTTGGCAGAGCTTAAGATAAAGTAAGCTTTCCTTACACTGCTTGATGTAAATGTTAATGGCATGGCCATTTGTTTAGTCATGCTCAATTTTCTGTTTTGTCAGAAGTTTGCTTTCTCCAAGAAATATTAAGTTAAATTGTTTTTGTGATCTCTGAACCAGCTCTTTGACAATGATGTACAGTCAAAAATAAGGGGTGAAATTGTAGGACCCGGAAGGTATGCATCCCAATTTAATTTAATCAAAATCTAGAAACCAGAAAGCATTTGAACCACTACTATGAAAGCGAATTGTGTTTCTAGGACCGGCAGAAATCACTTAAGTATACTACTGCTTAAACTGTACCTAAGCAACATAGGCCCAAACTTCTTGTTTAAAAAGCTTCTTGTCCCGGTTCCGACTTTGAGATGAACAACATCGTACTGCTATACTGTGTTTTTTTAATGATGAAGCAATTCTTAGATTGAAGAGGGATAGATAATTTGACACCATGTGATATGGTGAAGTGTATTTTAAGCCATTTCTCAAATCAGATTAGGTAAATTCTTGTCACTATAACCATTTGTTTCTAAAGAAGGGACGTCGATAGTAAGCTGTTTACGAATTTATGTGTTATTTGGAAGTTTATCGAAATAAGTGAAAATGGTTGCCAATCTTGACGTCATTAAGCTATTTTACTCTCTGATAACGTAATGAGTTCTATATGCGCTACTTAAAAACCTTTTAAACCCGTGGAATGTCTAGAAGAACGTAAAATAAAGTTTATACGGACGCTTTTGTCCCTTCAATGAGCCAAAGGAGGGGGTGTAAGTTAAAAGGGGTTAACAAGCTAAGATACATCAAATGGAAGATTGACTGTGTTTAAGCGAATATATTGATAAGCAATAAATTAGCATCATTTTGCAAGTGTTAAATGTAAATGTTATGGACCATGTAGGAAGCATTTCTTTGTCCTAATTATTGATTTATTTTGTTCTAGCTTGGAAAAAGAACGGGAAGAAATGAAATTGAAAAAAGAAAAGATTGCCGAGTTTCTTATCAAGGTCGTGAAAGAGGCAATGGAACACAAAAGCAAGCTCAAGGTGGGTGATACTTTGAAGAATGGGATTTTAGTTAATTTATGATAATTCATGTAATTACAGTAAATGGCGAACTAATACTGCCTTTCTATGAAATCATGCAGCAAAAGTTTGATACTTAATTAATATTTTCAAAATTAGACGAAATTACTGAAGGCCTAAAGAGCAATGGAAAGATAGTAGCAACAATATTGTTAGAAAATTCCCGAAATTCGTGTCACATAGCTAAACCAAATCCGTTCCCTGCTGGCTTTCCGAATCGTGGCCTAATTTCCGTAGAAAAGGCGAAACCTTGTTTGGAGCCATGCCAATTGTCGTAAACTCTTTGGTTTTGAATTCTATTTTTTGTGTAGCATCAGGCCCTAGATGTTTTTGCGCGATGTTAGTAGCTGCGATTGCAGTTTGCTGTTACATAAGACCAGCACGCAGGAGCTTTTCACAATAGTTATTGACCAATATCAGACGTTAAGCTGCAAAGTCTTCTAGCGAAGCTGTGCTTACTTTTCGTAATCCTTTGCGACTGGTCTTTGTTGTCTAAAAGATTTACCAATGGTACATAAATCATAATATTTGGATCCTAGTAAAACTTTTAAAAATATTGATTTTGAGAAACCCCTTCCTTGGTAGAGCATTTATAAACACGATGAATACAATAGCAAATTTGTTCTTCAGAAAACTGAAATTTTGCGAGATTTTTTTGATATTGTATTTCTACCTGAAATTGCAGAACCGGAATTGGATATAATGATTGGGTTTTCGTAACAGAGAACTAATTTCATACCTAACTGTAATCTCAGTGTTGGGTCAAAATTATTTTTCGCTTTTTGTCAACACATTGTTCATATTGTTGTCTTATTGATGGTCAACACTAAAAATAAATTTATTAAAACTAAATGAAGATTTGAACGGCAATAAAACTTTAAGATGCATTTTTTTAACTTTTTCCAATATTTATTACAATCCTGAAATAAGAATACGAAACAATGTGGTCTCAGTCAGCAAAATTGACATTGGCTGCAAAATTGGAATCCTTTGGAAATTCTTTCTTGGCTTTTTGACACATTTTAGAAGCAAAATTATCACTTTGCTTGGTTTTGTTTTGTTTCACAGTTTAGCACTAAAGTAATCAATTTTTGTCCATCTTGAAAGGCTGGTCTCAGTCAAGTTGTACAAGTCTCAGAAAAAGACCTTGAAGAATTAGAAAGGAAAAAGAAGCCCTCATCATTGTGACTTGAAATGCTGAATTTTCCTGTTGTGAATATGTAGCTTATGGTCATGAGCTTTCTCTCGTATTAACATTGATTCAAAACCTTTTTTACCTGCGGATATTTATAGTGTTGTTTTGACATTCTACCTTGAGACGATCTATCAGATGATTGAATTCGCTATCCTGATAAAGTGCATGTCATATTACCAGCCATCTAAATATAGAGGGCTAAAGATCTTAAATTTCTGCATTCTAGCGTTAAGAGATAAACAATTCTTGGATATAGCTTCTCTCTATCCTTTCTCAAGCAGTTCCAATGTTTCAATGCATTATACATTCACTGACGATCAGTGTTCAAGATACCATTAAATACACTCCCCTCTTCGAACGGTCGGGCAAAATTTTGGGGCTACTCTTAACAAACGCTATGTTAGGGGAAAAGTAAGATCAAATATTGGCGTGAAAAATAAAACGATGGCGTCAGGAAATAAGCAAAATAATTAAATAAACAAGCAAAAATTTTGTTTGGAGAAAGTTTACTGGGAAAATTTTTCCCAAAAGCGCAAAAAATGTCTGTCTTTGGGCACTGGTAAAAACTCAAAATATGGATAAAGCTAAGCAAATGGTCATGAAGTTTTTATGCCAGGCAGGTCATTGAATATGATGAAATTGCAAAACAAGTGGGCTACCCAAATTCTACAACTCAAAGAATTTGCAGCTTTTCTAAAAAGCAGTTTACTGGAGAGAAAATTGAGAACAGGCAGGTCAAAAAAGTTTTCTTATAGGAACCAAAGAATTGTGACAGGGCTTGCGAAGAAACTTGTTTGTCAATTTTAAAGAAGTTGAAATAGCGAGTAACTATGAAGCTTTGTGACCAAAATCGGCTTAAGTATTAAACTGGGCATACTCTATCGAAATACAGAATTATAAACAGTGTCCTAAGAAAGAAGCCTGGCTTTTCAGCAAATAACTGAACTCACCGGCAAAACAGAGTGAAAGTCACAAAGGAACGTTTTGCCACCGACTGGGGCGATAATGTCTTCTTGAACGAGTGTAGATTTAATTAAAAAAATGTTCTGGAGCCTTATCTATCCGGAAAACAACTGGAGAAGGAAGTAACCAAAAGTCCTTTCAACCAAATGTAAGGAAAGGAAGGAATTTCAGTAATGGTCTAGGGTTGCTTAAGGCTTAACGGCGTCGCCATCTTCTTCTTCGGGGGTGTTTGGCGAACGCCGCATATTATGTTACCATCTTCCAAGAAAACTTTCCCGAAAGTGCCAGAAAAATTTATAGTTATATAAATCAGCATTTTGTTTATCATCAAGACAATTCTCCACGACGCAAAACTAAGAATACAAGCAATTTTCCGCTGCCAACTGAATCCTCACCCTTCCCGGGGCCTTCTCAAAGTCCAGATCCGAAAGTAATTGAAAATGCTATTGCTATGGCTACTTTGGTTTTTTATAAAAGATTCAACGAATCGAGATCCTCCGAAGACTACGCTGCAATTAGTTGATAAAACCTTTGACATTTGTGCCAATATTCCTCTTCATGCAGAGGTCATTTCCTGGCCGGCCCTGTGCTGCCCTTTTTTCTCCTGAGAACCCCCATTAAACATTGTAGTTTTTCCATTGATTAAATTAATTGTTGACTTAAATTTAAATACTTGTGTAATTTAAACTTTTCTTTGATCCCCGGCAAAGGACTAAACATTTCACTCAACTTTCGTTTTGTGAAGTGGAGCGAAGTTTAGCGAGGGTGGAAAAAAGGCTAATATTTAAAATGGTGAAATGTTTAGTCGTTTTGCCAGGGCTTTATGCTTCCCTGAAATTTTGAAGTGATTCCTATTGTCATTATATAAATATAAGCTATTAACTTTTATTTTTGTTTTCAACAACTTGACCCAATACAGTCGCAACATTGGCATCCGTTCGAATACTTTTGGGAGGGGAGTGTAAAATAAATTAATTGTCCAATAAACATATTAATTTGAGTGGCAAAAATCCTTTTTTGCTTTTCAATAAAGAATCAAACATTTAAGTACAGTTATTTTGTTGCTTTAACGTAATAATTTACAGAAGTAAAAACAATTCATTCACCCGTATATCTTATGGTAAACACTAGTTCATCTTACATTGCATGCCACTTCTCGTGGTGTTCATTACAAAAATCCCTCTTGCATCGATAAAGCTAAGAGCAATGAATCAGTCATCTCCTGTGCGTGTAGGAGGAAATGGAACTTCAGGCAAAAACATACAACAAGATCAGATTTTGAAAAAGGTATGCTACCAAATTAATACTTAATTCTCGAAAACTACATACGTGACAAGCTATTTTTCCAAAGACATGCTTCAATTAGGCATTCGATACAAGACTACTTTCGTTTCAATACTATTTTTACGTTTGTGATAGTACAATAAAAATTCATGAAACAAATTTGGAGGAAAACTTCGCTGGAACGTATTCCATGTTCTGTCAAAGTATCTGTCTCAAGCATGGCTATTCGCCTTCTTTATCAGCCACCTAAAAATAATGATGTGTCGTCAATAGTTGCCCAAAACATGAAAAGAGTGTGCAGTTGATTACAGTAGACACTTCTGAATCTGTTAAGAATTACTGTGTATGGGTGTTCAATTTGTTTAAAGAGAAGGAGATCGAAAAAGCACCAGCCCTGACTCAATCCCATCATGATTCGAACCAAAAGTTCAAGTACGCTCAGTTCTTGATGAATGGCTTAAATCTACATGACTATATAGGTAGACCTCTTAATAGTGGCAGCCTCCCTATCGCTCGTAGCGATTATAAATCGCCTCTTGTGGTTAACAGCAATGTAGTTTCTACGTACCGTGTACTTCTCCCATTTCTTTTCTGGGTCATACGGCTCCCATCTACTAGCTGGGAATATATGTTTGTGCTTTTCATACCAGCTACGCAAAACGACCTTCCCAGCGTGAGACTAAAGGAAATAATAGCAAAAAAAATCATAAAAGCTGCTGTATCACATTAATTTTCTTCGAATGTAGAGGTGAAAGTTTGAGAAAAAACCAAGCTTTATATTTTACAAGAATAGAAAGAAACATAGAATAAAAGCTGGACAAAGGGAAACAGAATTTTTGAATAAAATAGACAGTGATCATAGTATCAATTGTGTGTATACCTCATCTTTTTCGATTCTGGAGTCACTTTTGATTCGAATATCGTCGTAGGCATCAAAACTAAATAATGGTCCACTTTTGCCTCGTGCTTTTGTCACAATAAAATCGTAGAACGTATAGTGCTAAAAACAGAGATTAATACCAGTTTAAAGTAGTCAGTAACTGAAAATGCATTGCCATGCCCTTTTTTCCTAATGAAGAGTTATGCAGAATCGTCGCAATTATATTTACCCTTCAAATGAACGAAGCGTTATTTAATCAAATTAATTTTTGGCAATTATTCATCGATGTACTACACGCTAAACTACGTCAATTCCTCCATCCGCGTCTGGATCCCCTTGCCTTAGGTCAAAACCAACAGTGTATCCTTGAGAAGAAGCGGAAGAACAAAATGTATATAAAACTTGTATTGTTGTTGAAATGAAATAATGTTGTAATAGTAAAAGGATCGGCAGTGTTGTCTCACGTGTGGAATAATGAGATCCTCTTTTACATACATCAGATGCTCCACACCAGCAGCTCTGTAAAATGAAATTACATCAATAAATGCCTGTATCGTGTTGGAACTGGGAAAATTGCAATCTTACAATGTAATTGACATCTCTACCAAAGACATTCGTTGTGTTCCCATATGTCTCCATCTAGCCCAATCTCCAGTGAGAAAAAAATTAGCGAACTGCGGGAAGTTCGCGCGAAATACGTCATGGGCATACGTAGTGAACTTTTGCTGGAATTCGCGAAGAATCTCTCTGCGAAAAAAGTTAAAATGAGTTTAACTTTTTTCGCTTTTCGCTTGCGAAATCCTTCAGCAGCGAATCAATAGTCCATATCCATTTGTCAAGCTTCCAAACTTTACATTCCAATGTCGTGAGGTCAATAAAAGCATTGGAATTGTTTCGCCTGGAGTGTTTCGCAGCGAAATTTCGCGAGACTTTTTCTCACTTGAGATTGGACCACAAAATAAGAATAACGAAGTTATTCTTATCAGAATATCAGAGTCAGAATTTTCAATACTTCTATCTGGTTCTGTCAGTGTTTGTACAGAACATTTCCGGTTCAAACAGCATAAGTTTTCTTAAATATGTTTAGCTGATGACTGAATATTGTGATCATTTGCTGTTTTCCATCTGTTTTCTTAACATTTGGGAGGAGGGGGATCGCGCATTGGAGAGGAGCGGTCATTCAAATACTTTTTCAAAAAGATGGCGTTCAATAGAGAAGGGGCGCTCATTAGAGAGAGAACGGAATTCAAGTAGAAAGAATGCTTCCCCTCTGTGATAATCTGCGGTTGGCAATATCTTCACGACACTTCATTTTCATTTTCAACGTGATTTTATCATAATGAGAAAAACATATCTACCTTAGTTCAGTAAACTGGTTTCTTAAATCTAAGAGACATTTCTGCAAAAACTTCTGAATGGTATCTCCTTTCCTCATCTAAAAAAGAGAGCACATTTTTAACTAAATCACAGTATTTGCAAATCGTGGAGAACATACAAAAAACAAACGAACAAAATATAATATGGCAAAAATGACGAATGCAAATATCGGCAGTAAATTTCTAACTGACTTGCCTTCCCAATAATCTTATATCTCCAAAATAGTTTCGACTATTTTTTTCGAAAGTTTTAGGCCTCTTTATTTCTCTTAAGTGCAAGCAAAAGTTAAACTAAACTAATGCTTTACAGTAACAGCCACTGGCGCTTAAGGAGCACGTCCCCGTAAATGAGTTTTTAGGCTTTTATTTGAAACTCTTATTGATTTGTCATCCCTTCATTATTTCGACAACGAAGCTGGCACGAAAAGTAGTGAAGCTTTTGTCTTTTTAAGTATTAGTGTTGTATTGTACTTTCAGGAAAATATGTAATTCAAGCCATTTACTCTCCTGATACAGTAAAAACTCAAATATGACAAAACTCATTTTTTCAGATCAGGTAGACCGAAATAAGGTTTAGAAAAAGACTCACAAGGTTCTTTTTGACATTCTGATAAAGGACCTAACTTTAAGAAGCAAAAACTTGATGGCGGACAATCAATACATCTCCTCATCTCATCTCCTATTATCTCGCATCTCATTACGCATGACTGAGTTTCATGCATTTCATGTTTTCCAGTTCATTCCAGCAAAATGCTTCAAAAATTTGTTTTCTTTTATGAAAATTTTCTCAGAAATACACAAGTGTAATGAACTGGAAAATATTCAGGCTCAACATCTTTTGCATTTTTTTGCAAAACCAAAAAATGTAAGGTTGTAATTTTTTTTACATGTTAGTTTCTTGAAAAGAGCTTTTTACTGTACTTTCGGTAGATTTTATTCACAGATGCGCTTCAAGCGCACATCAAAACAAAAATACGTTTATAAAAAGAACGAATCGAAATCGTCAGTACCTTACAGGTCTTTCGGTGGCCAGATCCATCCCAATAGCTATAAGTAACTTCTACCTCTTCCTCTGCAAATAGAAATAAGACCAATTCACTTTATCGTTACTTATTGTACTTACAAATAGAATAAACGTAATTGGAAGTTTGGCTAGATTGTGGTACAGATCAAGATTTCTTAAAAATTGTTCAATAAGTCTTGAGTTTGAAATGTTTTCATATCAACTTCACCTTGATGATATTCACATCCGATTTGCATTTGCAGAACAATGCATATAGCCAAGACCATTTAAAAAGGACATTATCATGAAATGTTTTGAGTCAATTCTACTTATTCGTGCACGATAGTAAACTTTCATGATATTCATGATAATTTCGCTATGGTATTAGCTTGTATGCATAATCACGTGAACTCTGTACTCAGAAAGTAAGTTTTATAAACATGAAAGAGCAACACTAAAAATATTTGACAATTTCAAATCGAGTTTATCACGACAACCCTGACAAAACACACCCCACCTTTGATTCTCTTTTGTGTTTCGACCCATTCTTGACGCAGCCTTTCTCTCTCTTTTTTCTCTTGTTCCTGAGAAAAAAATTATGATAATCTATGATAAACTGGGGATTTATAACAGAATTGAAAAAAACCCATCCACAAGAAACTTAAAAAAGCCAGCTATAACTTTACTTTAAGCACAATTCTTGCTATCATATTGCTATCAAATAAAAGGTTAAGTGCTATATAAATATTTTTCACAGCTTCGTTGAAAGCTTTTCGGTTCCTATGCTGGTACAATGCATTGACTCCGCATGATGATATTCAGGTTATCAAATAGGTATATTTTATCCCAAAATTGTCCGTGATTCAATTTTGCCAGATATTATGCCAAAATTGCAGTACTCCATGTAAAAAAGCATTGAGTCCCTTCCCTCCTCCAAATATGTATGCTATGCCATTGGAACCTAGCATTACTTAAATTACTCCACCAGAATATGTGACAAATTAGCACATTACCTCCCTTTCTCTGTCCGGCAGAAAAGAAGTATCCACATCAGGGTTCTTTGTTATTTTTCTAGCTGGTGGTGGTTCTATAAAAGTAAAAAACGGACAAAAAATGAAATCTGAGTATTCAGCCTTTTTACAATCAAAGCAAAGCAAATTTTAAGCTCGTTAACAGTGCATGTTATTGGAAAGGACAAATTTCAAATATGTTTGTTCCGGATTAAAACTTTTTTTGGTAAAGTCTTAGTCGTACCAAGTTAGACCAAGTTTTATGATAAACAAAAAAAAATATGTCAATTCAATTCATCCCATGTCAGTTATAAGCCAAAAATTTTTTTACTTCGTTAAACATGTCACGCAATCTCTAGAATAAACTTCTAGGGTGTAAGTATATCTATGTAAAAGCAGGATCTAAGTTAAGCCGTTGCCGGGAAATTGAATTATTCCTGAACATCTTGCATGAATAAGATAATAAAAGTTTCTCCTACAAAATAAAGATACTTCTATAAATACAAATAAACGACTTGCCAAAAGCCACCTCCTCCTCCTCCACATCTTCATCCAGATCAAAGGATAAAGTCGATGACTGCTTGGCCTTTTCTTTGGCTTCTTGTTTCTTTCGTTTTCTTTCCCTTCTCTCACTAAAATATCAAATCTTGAGCGAGAATTATAGGAAACTCAGAGAGAGAGATAAATCTCACAGAGATTTGCCTCACCTTTACGAGAATGAACATTTTTGTCAGAGGCGCAGACAAGAAATAATATTGCGGGATTCCTCGTTTTCAAACCCTTGAAATATATTTTCTAAGGTTTGTTATGAGCAAGCCTTAAATTATCATTACCTTATCTTAAATCTTTCTTATTTTAAAAACATGAATGATACGAGCTTCAAATTTTTATTACATGAAACTTCTTTACTACATGAAAAATCTTTGCTCAATAAAATCTGTTAAGTTTCGTTCCTACCTTTCTTTTGTTTCTGTTGCTATTCGTTTTTCATGTTCTTGAACAATTGTCTCTTGCTTTGCCTTCATTTCATTCAAAGTTACTAAACCTAAGATAACAAATATTATATGGAACAAATCAATTATAACGTACCAATATTTTTAATATGAAAAAAGTTTTTGGGTACTAATAATAATTTCTTTTGGGATATATTGTTCTAAAAATGCGCCATATGAAAAAAACTGCTTGTCACTCCTGGATAAATATTACTTTGGAATTCTGTGTAACCTTAGTATGTTTTGAGAAACAAGTTGATTTTTCTAAAAAAGCCTTTCTCTCGGAAATATAGAAGCAAGCCACTTTTACAAGGCAATGTGAATAATTCATAAAAAACCCTGTTTCTGCCGTCATAGAGTGCCAATTTGTTACAACAGGGGCATGCATCTTCTGCACCTTCTAAATGCAGAATATTAAAGTACAAAATACACTTCAAAACCTCAAACTCTGAAAGATAAATACCAAAAAGTAAACGAAATCTCTATCCAGGTAAAGATGGAAAGCCTTATGGTCTATTTTATCGATTTCTGTGTTTAACTACGTATTTAATATAATACGTTATACTTCTGCCTTTTTCGTATTATTTTCAAAGATGCCATGTGAAACCAGATACGAAACTATGACAACATTTGACTTACCGATAGTGCTAGACTTGAGCTCTTGCTCGACAGCATCGAAGTGCGACTGAAATTTATTTCCCATTCTTACGATTCCCCCTTTAGATTCCAGATCCTGAAAAACGCAAATCAAAGTTTTGTAAAGGAAATTAGCTGCAAAAAATTAGAAAAGAGAATTTAATGATACATAGCTATACAGACAACTGATTAAGCATCTGTGGGCATATTTGCGACTTTGACATTTAAACGTTTTTACTTTATTTCCCAACAATGCCCATTATTCGGAACTGAAAAACTAAACAAAGAACTGAAAAAAGTGAAAATGTAGCCTTATATGATGAAAATGGTATTGAATGTTTTCAGGGACAACGCACCAGTTTAAATGTGGGAGGGCTGAAAAGGATGTTACCGAAATTTTTTGAGGCTACGCCTTCTAGAACACCAGAAAACGCCCCTTTTAGAAAATACTGGCTTATTTCTACTGGGGTTTTATAAACAATCTGGTACTTGTGTGGAGTTTTGAATGATTTTTGAACATTTAGTTTTGTCATTTTCATTTGATGACAACAAGGCTGAATAATGTCTCTGCCAATCAGTATCAACTTTGAAACCAACTTTGTCAATGTTGAAATTTTAAACCTACTTTCAAAAATCACATTGAAAAATTAATCCCATCTCTCTGATAATCCTGCATTAAATCAGGAGGATTATTCAATAAACCTGCAGGGGGAAACAAGAGAGAATATGGTATCCCTAAAATTGCGACCAATGTGTCAAATCAAAGATATTGACTGCAATGGTGATGGCAGTCTTTGTCCCCATGAGAAGCAGCAGATTACATAACAGCAACTCAGTGCATTTTCCCTGCTCTCACCCCACGTTCTGTTTCAAACCACATTAGATGGAATGCTAGAAATCTGTCCGTACTCCACAAAAGTGCAAAGATGTGAATCCTCTTTGAAAGAAGGCCCCTCAATTCTAAGGTGTCGCTTCTTCAATTAAAGCAATGAAAAGATTCACGATGACATCACCTTATCCTTATTTGCAAAAGAATTCCCAATCTGGGCTCAAAAAACATCCTCTGCAGCTATCAAAACAGTATGATGTCCTTGAATATCTAATGGTTTGATTAGCTCCTCTCACACTTAATTATCTACTATTTCTTTAGTTATTTATCTCTTTCTTGTTTAATCGAAAAAACAAAACATGAGCATTATGTTGCTGAAATTTCTGCTGTAGCCTCTGTATTGTTTAATATAAAGAGTAGTGTTTGATTGTTAGTAGAACGTCATTTGTATATTGCAACTTATAAGCATGTAAGAAAAATTTATTTCCCATATTTGCTACCACCATTTTCCTTTATCATAACTGTAAGTAACTATTTCTCTGTAGCTAAGTAAAATGTTGTAGTCAAGGGGACCTCAGCACAAAAGGGGCAGTTGTTTCCCTTTTAACTTGTCAAGTGTGATGAAAAGAAAAACGAATTTATCAGAAGGCATGAAAAAGAAAGAAATGGATTCACAGAGTTATTCTGAAGTTAACCTGCAACTGTGTACTTGCTCAAGCAAATTCTTTGTTTTGAGTATATCTTTTTTGTTAAATTGATACCTAGTGGGATATTTATAATTTTAGATCTAACTATATTTTTTCTGACAATGGAGAAAAAGCAATAGGTTGCAGCAAAAATTTAAAACTCAGATGCAAAGTTAAAGGTTGTCAAAGTTCTTTCCTCAAACAGAATTACAATCGCCATCTAACCACTCAGCATCGAAATGAAAACCCAAAGGTCCTTTGTAAGGATGATAAGTCACGTATTCAAAAGCTGTTCCAGCACATGACAGCTAAAAGGAAAACTTTCTCAACATGAACAGAATGCTTAATCTTTCAAATTAAAGAATAAGACAGAGCCTTGTATGAATTAATGAAAATTGGTTGATAGAAACAAAACAAGTGAAATATTAGTCCTTAAAGAAGGTCACAAAAATTTTCTGTCAGAAGTCATACAAATGATGTAAGTATAAGGTAGGCAATATATTGCAATCTGTCCAAATAATTGAAAATAAATTAAATAATCTAAATCAAAAGACAGCAGCATGGAAACACAAACAACTGCTTTACATGCTCCTACTTGCTTCAACCTGGACATGTTATCATTGCCTTCAGCAAGGCCCATACAGAACCTGGAAAAATTAGGTTTAGTATTTAACCCTAGAAAACAGTTAGTCATTTGTAATGTTTGTATTGATGTCAGTGATAAAGGGGTTTGTAGTAACACCTAGAGTTTTCAAATATGAGATCTGTTTCGAAACTAATTTAGAAATTCAAAAAGAAGCCTGAAGAGACAATGGAATAGTCAAGATCATGAGAATGGAGTCCTTAAAATTGAAGAAATAAAGATAAAGGATGGAGAGATGTAAAGAAGGAACTAGAAAATAAGCATGACAATTGGGTGTACATGCTTTGATTTGTACACAAAAGGGTGTCCATATCAAAATCTCAAAGATCTACTATACAATCTTTGAAGCGTGCAAACAAATGAAGTAAAGTCTCAGCCAATTATCAAAGACAAGTGATACAAGGTGTGCAATCAATGGTATTTATCAATTTCATTAAGGATATACACACGAGGCAAGTTCATGGTTTACTTTCTGATTTTCCCTTTGTGCATTCAAGCAATTTCCCATTGTTTTGAAAATCTTTCACATTCAGTGACAATAAAAAGGAATTTCCGACAAATGAAACAGCAAAATGCACAGGGAATGAATTGTTAGAGGGTAGTGGCATGCAACTGCTAGCAGGAGCAGTTCTAACAAGCAAAATTTCTGGGGCTCATGCACCAATGGGCCCACGATAAACTTACTTACTCTATGCCCATGGTGGAAATTTAGGGGGTCCTTTGCTCAATTGTTGGTTAAAACACAATTTTAGTGCTTTTGTCAGAAAGTTGTTTCATTTGTCTGCAAATTTGCATGTTTATGTGGGTGTTGCCTGAGACTGCAAGCAAGCTATGGGAGTTTAGCTGCCAAATAATTTTCAAAATGTACCTAAAACTATCCAGAAATCATCCTGCTCTCGGTTTCTTAGCATGTTTAGCCTCAAAAAGCGTTTTGGCCCCCTCAATTTGCAATATGTTTTCTGAATGTCCTTGATCTTTGATTAAGAAACTTTATGATCTGGAAACCACCCTTCTTAAATTTGAATTGATGGCAGATATTTCTTGTGGCATGTAATTTGAGACAGACTATAGTAGTTTATTTTAACCTCTGTGTCTATGGCCCTGGGGTAGTCATAGTCTTTTGCTCCTTGGGGTATCATCAGAGTAATGAGTAGCCTAGCTTGTATTAATGTATTGTAACGTTTTAATGGATATAAAAAAAAATCCAGACTTAAAAGGGTTGACCTGGAATAATTTATTTCCTTATGAGAATGGAAACTTTCTCTTTTGTGCCCACAACCATTGTTCACTCGATAAAATGAAGATGAACCAGTTCCAGTTAAGTATCAACCCGTGCTCACACTTTCGGCCCGCAAAACATCAGTTGGTTGTACCAACAGCATTAGACATATCAGGCTTTTCCCACCCAAAAAATTTATTTTAAATGATTGACCAAATTATTTTTGGGTCATATGCGGATTTTGATATATTTCAAAAGGTGTTCAGCTGTTTTAATAGGGATTCTATGGCTTGTTCTTAGCAGACCTGCCAAGTTTGGTGGGTGCAAAAACTTGAAACTTTTTAAAAATTTCTTATAAAAAAAACCTTGAGAAAAATCAAACCACTTACTGATTGCTTTATAAACACAAACACGTCTCAATAAGAACTCAATCACAACTTGTATTTTGTTACTACTGTTTTGGAACTTTTCAAGACTTCTTCTGTGGGTTTCCAGCGGTAATAGGGTGTGCTGGACTCAGGATAGATTGTTTCAATTGCTAGGATACTCAACAATGTGCCACCTAGTTTCACTGATCACCTTTCTAATGATTTTTTTCCTTTACAATGCTGAGGAGGTAATGCTTCGACTTGCAAAGGAGGTAAAAATATAATTATTCAGGAGTTAAATATGCCGATATCCTAGCATTTTTTTGTCAGAGATGGCAGATTGGGAAAATTTTTTCGCCTTTTTTTATTTATGAATCTATTGTGAGGATTTCCTTACAAACTGTGAGATGGTGGGATTTCTTTTAAAACCGTGAGTCTCCTGGCAAAACTTTGGTACTTGGCAGGTTTGTCTTAGGGTGTTCCTAGGGTGTTCAGTCTGTTCTTGGAGTGTTCAGTTTTTTAGAAACAGCAAGGTTTAGTTATTCTTACCAACAGGGCTGCTCTTTCCTTGATTAGTTTTTCTACTGTGAGAAAACTCCTCTTTATCTAACAAATTCCCCTTCATATAATTTCTGTTCTGTTTTGTCTCTCTTTCATCTTTTTTAAAATTGGTTATTTTTTTGTTTTCAGTAATCATCCTAATGTAGTCTTAACCAAAATTGCATGCAATGGAATTTCAAAATCAAGAAATTGAAAACTGAAACTCAAGAGAAAGTGTAGATTGCATGGATTCAACTCTGGTGACTAAGACAACCCCCACGCGGATTACATAGCCTAGACTCTAGGCTAGAGCCTTTACCTTTGACAATTTATTCTTTAGAAGCTCCATCTCTTCTTTCTGTCTTTCTCGTCTTTTCTCTAGCGTTCTTGCTCTATGAGCTTCCCTTGATGCGCCTTTGTACTGTGCCATTTTTGCGTCTTTCTTTTTAATGTTTTCCCAACTTTGCGACAAAAACCACTGAACAAAAACACGACGAATCTGCCTTTTTTACGGGGCCTCGTTTCGGAAGTACACCAATTTATGCTGTTGTTGTTGCCCGTTATTCGAGGAAAGTGCATGAAAATGTCGCTGTACGATGGCCTTGAAATTAGCCAAGAAAAAGACTCCAGCAGTCTCACAGCGAGCCAAATATGTAAGTAAAGCGGAAAAGTATCCAAGAAATATAGAACAAATTTAAAGCACGTAGCACTTTAATGTATAATAGATCTTTACTGTTCTTTAGTATGCTAGGCTGACCAAAATCAAGTGAGAGGCACGCAAAATTAGATGAACAGATGCACAAAGTCAGAGAACTTTAAATGCCTTTAATTTTGGACTGGTTTTGTTGCAGGAAGTTTCTAGACATATTTGTAAAAAAAAACAAGATTTCTTTGCACAAGAGAAGGAGCTTTTCCCTGAGTCAAAAAGGGTTAGCAGTCAGCGGTGTCAATTTCCCAATGCACTTTTTTTTCTCTCGTCTGCCCGGACATAACTGTTCTTGGAGTTATATTTCTGTTGTTGTTTTTCTTTGATTTTTGGGTTTTTGATTTTTCCACTCCAAAAAAATCTGCTAGTAAGGCCTGCCTGTTATCATCAGCCACTGAGCAACCAAGGTGGAATCCATGTGAAGCTCACGCCGGACGTAGGCCAATAAACAATAGAAAGAAAATGGGAAATCGTTAGTCTACGGCGTAAGCTACATGGATTTGACACTGGCTGAGCAACCAGCACAAGCAAGGCCAGATCAAAGTCCCCTTGAACTATGCTATGTCCAAAGTCACCCAATGACACCAGTTTTGATTTTTTTCCTTCTTTTTCTAGAGCACATGTTTTTGAGTTTCTGTTCTTATTGGTGATACCAAATCTAATATTAAATCTTTTTGTCTCTCTAGCAGGATGGTCTTCAAACCTTCAGTTTATGAAAACCCAACTGCAATTGAAAAAGGCTTCACAAGGAAAACCACCTCCTGTAAGTTTCTCTTCTAAATAAACTATCAGTGCCTAAAATTTGTGATTGAGTGAAAATATAATTTCTAAGAAAGTTATTTAGAATGAAAAATGTAGTACAATATTCAACAGATGAAATATATCTGAAAGGTGACATTAAAAGCTTTTTCTGCATATGGCAGACTCAAAGAGTTGTTTTCCATTTGATTGTTGTTAGCATTGATGTAGTGGAAGGGTAACGCAGCATAATGCTGTTATGCTTCCTAAATGTTTGAGCCCCAGCATTATGCTACCTATTTAAGCAAACAGAAGCATTATGCTTCTTAAATATCGGTATCATATAAGACAAAAGACTAATCTATTTTTTATTAGACAATGTAGCAAAAACATTGGTTAGGCTTTACATACTTGTCTCAACCAAGGTTAGAGTGAGTATGAAAGTGAGTAGAGTCACATGAAGATATTGCAAATGCATTTCAGATCCTTTTGTTCCTAATTGTATGCAGTACTATAGTAAGGATATTGTTTATTGGTCAAAAAGAGAGCCAGGTCATAAATGAAGTAAATGAATATGGCTACCTAGGTCAACTACTAATATCCGAAAACAAAACAAATAAAAAAATTGACAGAAGATTAGCTATACAGGAGGGCAAAGAATTGGGTAATCTGTTGATTCATGAGAAGAATCAATGTTTTAGATTTGAAGAAATTGAGTAATTGGTGGACTCATACTACCAGCAGTGGCGTGGTGGTAGGGGGAGGAGGTTAGGGTGATAGTTGCAGGGGGCACATCCCCCCAAGTAACTAGGAATCAGGGGGCACTGAAGGCCATACATTTCTTCAAAGGGGTGCCAAAATCACATGGAAAACAAATGTGAAGGAAGAAGGCCAATACTGAGCTACAAAGAGGCCCATATTTTGATGAAGACTTCTTTTTTTGTTTCTTTCTTTCTTCCTCCTCACTTCTGTGCCAATCTGCCTTCTTTGCAGCTCGTTCAAAACCCTTGAGGCTCTGGAGCCCAGGGTAGGGATGACATCCCAGAATCCTTTGGCAGTCCACTATTAATTACCCAACATCCGTAAGCAACCAACTAACTCGCTTGACCTCACAAAGGTTGGACATGAAACATAAATATATACTTTGGGAAATTTCAACAATCAGATTTTGAGCATTTCTGCTTCAACTTTACAAATATACTTTGCCTTGTATTTTCAACAGAATTGTTCTTCGGTTGATATTCTTATGCTCATGTTTTATTGTAAAACATGTTCCTAAAATTTTGCAATACCTTTTCCGTATTCGTGTCACTGTCTTTTCAAATGCAAAACAGATAAACTATGGTACATAATGATAAAAATAATCTTATGAATATTTTCTTAAATCTCCATCAGGCCTAAAGCTATGTACCTAGTTTTTCTGGTCATCTTTAGAAAATTGTACTTTCAAATTTTTTCTTGCCGCCAACCATGGCTTCCACTATAACTCTTTGAAATTCTTGAGATTTTTGGTGTAATGATAAAGAAAAATTTAGGAACATTTCTATGGATCTTCCTGGTTTCTAAATCTGTGTTGTAAATATTCTAGTGTTTCAATAACGTCATATTTTTAAAACTTTTCTTGCTGCTAAACATGATGCTGCCCCTCATTATGCCCATGTTTGATCTTGTATTGGTTTCTACCTAGACCAAGCATAGTTTTTTTAGGACACTGAGAAGCTGTGCTTATTGAGCAGTGTCCTGGTCCTTCCTCATGATGTGACCACACCTTGTGATTCCTACACCTGGAATTACAGAGAGCTGGCGACTCTCCTCACTCAGTTTGGTCATGCCAGGGACTCAAACCAAGGACCCTTGGGTCTGTAGTCAGCGCCTCCAACAACTGAGCCATCCTTGCACTATTTAGATCTAAGTATTATGGCATAATGATAAAAAAGTTTATGAATACTACCAAGGAATCTTTCTTCATTCTCAACTGATGTTAAATTCATTTAGATGCAATTTCCGGCAGTCCCTAAAATGTTATACTTTCAAAATTTTTCTTCCTGCCAACTATGGTGGCGGCCTTCATGAAACCCCTGAACAATTTTGATTAGATCCCCTGAAAAATGATTGCATTTTGCCCCCCTCCATTCTCTATCACATTCCGTCGCACTGATAAAATTGTACCATGGGCTTAACTTTAGGCAAGGCCAAAAATAAGTGTGGATCTGAATCACTTTGTGGAGTTGTAAACTAATATTGTGGGTCTGTAATTTAGAAAGTGTGGATTTGTAAATAGTGAATGTTCTTAACAGTGTAGCATAAAATACCAATCGAAACATTTAAATTTGAGGCATTAGAATTTGCTGACAAATTAAGTCATCACTAAATGATGCTAATTTTCTTATTTACCCAATCCATATATTTTAAAAAGATCGGCTTTTGTTACTAATACTTAAAGTTAAGGATCTTGGCCAATTAGGATATGCTACTGACACTAACGTGGCCATTTCCGGATATTATCAGTGTCTACCTTGGCCATTGTGTCAATCCCTGGATAATACCACGCCCAACTTTTATAAAAGTATGTGGATCTGTAAAAATTTCCTATTTTAGGCACTGACTTTAGGGGGCACCGAAGAAGGTTCATCCCATTGGCAGTGGCAAAGAAAAGCATGGAAAAAGAACATGCCTGAACAAGTAGATAGATGAAAGCTTAAGATCACAAATAAAATGGTTTGACGTTGTACAAAACCCAGAAAAATACGAGTGGCAAATGGGCGAGCCATGTAGCCTAATGGACATAAAAGAGTGGACAAAGAAGATACCAATTTAAATAAATAGGATGCGAAAGATCCAGCTATGATTTTTGAAAAAATGGACGAAAAGATGACCTGCAGAACATTGCATATATCACTAGGATAAGATGCATGATGTATAACCCAAACAGTTCAATGTCTTAAAAAGCAGACAATGCGATATTTTTCTGAAAAGCGCCAATGAAACACTGTTTTTTGACTTTTGCATTATACTTTCTGAGAATTTACGACTACACCACTGGTTGTTAGGTAGTAGGTAGTTTATAAAGCAGTGCTTGTAACACAAGGTTTGACAATGTTTCCTGCTGACCCTCTTCCCCAATGCCCGTGCTTTCTGATACACATCTATGACAATTTTTTATCTGATTTGTAGAAAAGCAGATCCTTGACAAGCTCAGGACCTGGAACATTAACACTTGTACGTATTAATTTTTTGTCACTTTTTGTTGCAAGTAATGATATGGATAGCTCCAGGAGATTACTTTTAACTTTTAAAGGCATGAACTTTTCAAATGACCTACCTACTAACGCTAAGAATTCGATATCTGTGAACAGTTCCAAGAATTCGTATGACAAACACAAGCATTCATCACAATTTAGCACATCCTTCAAAGACATCACATTTCGCACAATATACACAAATTGTATTTTTGCAAAAAAATGGTTCTATACTATATTATATATTATGAATGATAAATATGGTACAGTTTTATTATTAAGAACATTTGTAATATTCTAATTAAATTCCAAATTAGAGCATGGTAATTTTTCGGCTAATAGGTTAAAACTCTGAAGATCTTTGCTCAGCAACGATCAAAGGAGAGTTTTGTTTGACACTTTTTTGCTATTTTGACACTTATTATTGGCATCACAGACATTTTTTCTTGGCTCTGCAGAACCATTAATATTCCGCTTTATGAAGTAAGTGTTGTTTTGTTTAAGATTTTTCAGTTATCTTAGCCAGTTTTCTTTTTATCGAAGGCAAATCTGACGGGCGGCCTTGACCCAAAGTCGAATTTCCTTGATGAGTACGATCCATTCAGGCCCAACGAATACAACGACGTGAAGGAAAAGCTGAAGGTTAAGGAAGAGGAAGAGCGCAGAGAAAGGAGACAGCGGGAGCGGGAGTCGGATAGAGATCGCCATAGAGACAGGGACAAAGATAGGGACAGAGACAGAAGAAGAGACAGAGATGATGATGACAGGAGGCCAGGGTAACAAGTTTTTTGTTTACGCAGCAAAACTCGTCATTTTTTATGATTCATGCACATTATCAGAATATTAGGCTTTTGTGGTTTGTCACTTGTAGTAGTTCTTTCCAAGACGTCTGGTTAGAATGCTTTAGCCTAACAACGTTTGTAAAGAAGCTTCCTGCATTGCCGAGTGGCTCAATTGCGTTTTAAATGCATTTCTTAGGAGACGAGATCGTGAACCAGACAGAGATCGAGATAGACGCAGAAGAAGAAGGGACAGTGATGAAGAAGATGATAGAGGCAAGGGTAGGTGGAGCTCTAAATTTTTCTTTCTTATTCCACCGTGTTTTATGATGATTTGTGATCTATTGATATTCTTCTGGTTTTATTCTTCTGCAAAGATTAGTTCAGCCTCGATTTTTAAACCTACGCGTTATTCTGTCACTTCAGGACCTCGAAGTGGTGCAGCTATTGCTCCTCCACCATCACTCTCGATTGCTGCACCAGATCCAGGTATATAGCTGTTTCTCTACCTTTCATACTAACTATGAGGTTATCTCCAAGTCAGCGAAATTTCACTGCGCCAAATTTCCTTTCTTCTTGATTAGAAAAGTTTTTTCGTAAAGGAAAATTTCATTAGTTGCCGGAGTCCGTTTTTCAAATAACTAAGTGACGAAAGTAAACATTTTCGAAAATAAACCTTCTTTTTTTCGTTTTGCCTTAATACAAATTATGACAGCAATTTGACTTGCGTAAAAGATAAGAAAACGCTAGAAGTAAGAAAATTTCATAATCAACTGCTAAACCTTTATCAACTTAAATCTTTTATTATTTGAACGATTATAGAATTCGTTGATTATAGAAAATATATAAACGTAGCTAAACGCATTTTAAAGCTGGAACCAACTCTCCATCCATCACATTTGTTTTCGTTTACAGATGAAATTGAAAAGAAAGTTGGTGCAGGAACTGGAGGCTTCTCAACTGGGTGCGTTCCCCTTGCTTATTTTTCCCTTTATAAGTCACAAAGATGTTTTCTGTTGCTCTGTATTATAATTGAGAGATATTTTCTAGGATGGGCATTGCTAAATGTCTTCATATAGCATCAACTTAGCTCCACGACTGCATGTTACCATCAATGGGTTTCTTTTAATCTTTTAGGAACGCCGTGGCAAGTAATATTATGGCGAAATATGGTTGGAAGGAGGGCCAAGGTGCGATTTATGTATTCTGTGTCTAGAAACATGCACAAATTCCTCTGATGATCGATGTAATTCAACTATATGTGGAGGCCTTTTGACAAAGTACCTACAGAACCAAACTCTTAAAAGCAGAGTCTGCATACCGGCAGCATATTCTCGTGCATACATTTGCAATGCTCAACTACCAGAATGAATCACCGCAATGTTGGATCGATATTTAAGCATAGGCCCTGGCATTGTCAGTTTTTTGTAAAGCTGCAAAGCTGAGCAAACTAAAATTGCGATGTTCTCATCCTGTAGAGAATTTTTCTCTCGATAAATGGGCTACCGGAAAAAAACATTATTTTTGCAGCAATTTTGTGCACTGCATATTGCTAAGAAGTCATGATACCAAAATTTTTGACATGATGAAACTGCTCAAAGCATGTTGAATTCATTTGAGTAGTTCAGATTTTCCTTTTATGACACATTTTGTCAGTTGATTCCTTTTTTATTTTTGTAATGACACTTAAAGTCATGTTCTTGTTCTTTCTTGCATCATAATGCTTTGAAATGATTCTATTTTCCTCTTTGAATCCACAGAAGTTCACATTTGTCTATTGTTGTAACTTTGTTTTGAAATTTTCATTTCTTTAAAAAAGAGATTTAAACCTGGTTCTATTTTAAATACATTATTGATATTATCAGTTTCAGAAACATTCAATTTTTTGTTGAAGGTCTTGGCAAAGATGAGCAGGGATTGAGCACATGTCTTCAAGTCGAAAAAACCAGCAAACGGGGCGGAAAAATTATCAACAAGGATAAAATTGTCCAGGAGCAAGGTAGGTATTTGAAGCTTTTCTGGATAAATATACACTTCCCATGTTTTCTTGAATTTCCCTTTTTACATAGAAACTTCCTATATTCATCAATATTTTCTGAGAGCTCTTTTCGCGCTTTCTAATGATATTAACAAACTTCTGCTGACTAAACCTTTCTAGTGTTAAACTAAAGCAAAAATAGTGCGAAACTGATGTTATTCGGGTTGCATTTGCTTCTAATTTATATGCATTTTTGTAATAAGCCCTTCAGAAATCGATAGAGAGTTGATAAAGGGAGATGCATTAGACACGAGTTACATTCCATCTCTTTTGGTACGTTTCTGATTGCTTTGTTGTTCCTGAAATTTGTTTTCTGTGAAACTTCAAATAACATCACGAAGTTTTTCATAATGTTTTCGTTCCAATTCTCAGAAACCAAGGAACAACCACAAAGTGACACGAATGCTGTACTGCTGAGGAATATTTCCAAAGTCGTCATGCTTACAGTGAGATTATTTTTATTGTTGTTAATTATTTGATCATAGCTTCGATATACAAAACACAGATGTTATTCACCCATTTGCTGCTAACTCACCGCATCCAAAAGCAAAGATATCTATAGTTTTTATGTCGAAAATTTAGTGAACGTTTGGGTTCTGTTATTATAATACTCCTATTTGAATGATTTTGCAGAATATGGTAGGGCCTGGTGAAGTTGATGACGAATTACAACCAGAGGTTGAAGAAGAATGCCAAACCAAATACGGAGAAGTTGCAAAAGTCATCATTTTCGAGGTAGCCTATCATGTCTTTATCGATTGAACTGGAGAACGACATCTAGAATGTCTAGGAGATGGTCCGCCCAAAATCAACTAACAAAATTGTTTTTTTTGTATTTGTTTATACCTAGCATCCGAAGATAGCATTAAAGACATTTAGAAGCTATGCCTATCGAGCAGTGTCCTGGTCCTCCCTCTTGATGTGTCCATACCTCGTGATTCCTACTCGTGGAATTGCAGAGCTAGCGCCTCCCCTCAATCTAGATGAACGTTATGTCCGCAGCCGCAACCACAGAGTCCTCGTAACGTTGTTTACTGATAGACCGAATCATATGTTTTAAATTTGCAAGCTTTAATAAGGGATAGCACTACACCATAGACTCAGAATATAAAACTGTTACCATCATTTTCTTAAAGCATCCTCTATTTTCCGAAAACAGTATCTTTAAACTCTAATTATCTAATTTGGATCGCTCTGTTTGCAAGATGCCGGGAGTTCCAGAGGAGGAAGCAGTGCGGATATTCGTCGAATTCAGAAGAAACGAATCTGCTGTCAAAGGTAAATTGTTTACAATTCTTAACCAATCATGAGCGAAGATAGTCAATATAAGCACAGTTGCCATTACGAAGAATCTTGTACATGCAATCAGTGGTATTACTGGACAACAGCTCAAGCACGTATTGCAACTTCTTGCCTGTGCATAAATGACCTTGAAAGATATATGTAGAGGCTACTGAATTTTGTATTCTCAACCAATTTCGGAAAGTACTAGTTATGACCCCTGACGCCGGCCTAAATATATAAAATAAATCTGAGCTTGCCTCTTTCTCTCGTTCAACGGGTGATGTTTTTTCTGCCTTAAAACACAATTTTTTTCTTTTCCAGGATTATTCATTTAATCTTTTTTCTTTTACAGCTTTAATAGATTTGAACGGAAGGTTTTTTGGGGGCCGACAAGTTAGTGCAAAGTTTTACAATCTGGACAAGTTCAGACGATTCGAGTTAGGCGAGTAAAAATGGTTGTCGATCACAAGTGATTGAGAAAAGAAGAACAGAAGTCCTATAGAAACAATATTGCAATGTTCCATTGTTTATCAGTGTATCAGATGAAGATGCCAAGATGACGTTTTGTCAAAGTAGCTATCTACCGTGTTTGCACTGGGATTATTTACTTGTCAGCTGACAGAAATATCCAACATTATTTGTTATTAATAATAGTCAATAGCTTACGAACCGAAGTTCTAGGGAACTAATGCTTCATGAAACATTACGCTTCCTTTTGCGTAAGAAGTTTAGTCTTTGTATCTGTTAGCGTTTTGGTATCTCTATGCTGTGGACTTGTTTTTTTGCACTGCTATTGAGACAGTTAAAGGAGAGAGGTTGCAAAAATGGTGGGAAAAGGGTTTCCTGTTTAGAGCTGCAGCTGTGGTTAAAATAGAATGGTCTTTGCTATTTAAACATTGAAAGGAGAAGAAGTGTATATTTTTATTGAGTGTTTTTTCGAAATTTTTGTTTAACTTTATCTGAGTCAATTTGGAGTGACAAGATGTTGTTTTGAACTCGCTCTAATTTTATAAATACAGTTCTGGACAGCGCGGCCGAGACCAACTAAATCATGACATGTAGCAAGCATCTATTTTATTAAATTTTTCATCCTCTTCCATATTCAAATTTGTGGTGTATACATCTAAATAGCAGAGGTGTCGAGATTGATAATCAGTGTAGTTCAGCGTGTTGTACGTCGAGTAGTGTGCAAAAATTAAATAACGACTTTGTACACGAATGAAAGATGAACACTAGAGAGAAGTGTCGAAATTAAACTGGGAAAGAGGGGTGCAAAACCTCAACATCAACAGTTCAGGACTGTGAAGAAACTCTTGGTCCGAAATTTCCATGTGTCGTAAAGAGTGTTGCAACGATCTACAGGGAAAGGTGTTGCAACGTGACTGTTGAGCGGTAAGTTAAAAAGAGTCCTCTCTAAAGACTGTTAGAAAAAAGCAGTTGAATAAGACATCCTTACTGCTCTGTTGTGATCCATACTGGCACTGGGATTTATGAGAGTCTGGCCAACAAATTCTTCACAATAGTAAGTTATATTTTTGATGGATATATTGTTTGTATATGTTGTAGATGTTAAGAGTTTAGAGTAAGACACAGTAAAAAATGCAAAGAAAAAGGATGTTAAAACCACAATATACAAACCATACATTACGTAATTGCTTCAAAAGACACCACTATCAATTTATATTTAACATTAATTATAAATTATATCAGCTTCTTGCCACGCCAATACGATCTAGAAATTCGAAATAACCTTTTAAAAATCCTTCTGCATCTTCCCAGTGAGGATAATGTCCAGCATTTTGCAGTACGGTGACAGATGAGTTTGTAACTGTGCTCCTTTGCAGAAAAATAGTTTTAGAGATTAGATAAAATGCCATTGGAAAACCCGATTTGCAAAAGATGGGCATTAAAAAAGATGAGAGGAGCCCATGGTTTATTTTAAATCAACATGCAATGATTACAGGGCCTAAATTGGAAAATGGCTTCTGTACAAGATTTTGGCAATGGCTGATTTCTGAAGCAAGTTAAAACAGATACAGAACAAAGAGCTTCTCAAAATGTCACTAAGGATGGTTTAATTGTTGTTTTAGCTCTGGTAAGTGATGGTTGCATTTATTCCACTCAGCAAATAATGCTACAGGCAGAGTTTACTCTTCTGCATGTTATTAGCTACCGGTATCAATGCCATAGGAGCACTTGGCATTAGCTATCGGTATCAATGCCATAGCAGCACTTGGCATTAGCTATCGGTATCAATGCCATTGGGGCATTTGGCATTAGCTACCGGTATCAATGCCATAGGAGCACTTGGCATCAGCTATCGGTATCAATGCCATAGAAGCACTTGGCATTAGCTATCGGTATCAATGCCATTGGGGCATTTGGCATTAGCTACCGGTATCAATGCCATAGGAGCACTTGGCATCAGCTATCGGTATCAATGCCATAGAAGCACTTGGCATTAGCTATCGGTATCAATGCCATAGGGGCCCTTGGCATTAGCTACCGGTATCAATGCCATAGGAGCACTTGGCATTAGCTACCGGTATCAATGCCATAGGAGCACTTGGCATTAGCTACCGGTATCAATGCCGTAGGGGCACTTGGCATTAGCTATCGGTATCAATGCCATAGCAGCACTTGGCATTAGCTATCGGTATCAATGCCATTGGGGCATTTGGCATTAGCTACCGGTATCAATGCCATAGGAGCACTTGGCATTAGCTACCGGTATCAATGCCGTAGGGGCACTTGGCATTAGCTACCGGTATCAATGCCATAGGAGCACTTGGCATTAGCTACCGGTATCAATGTCATAGGAGCACTTGGCATTAGCTACCGGTATCAATGCCATAGGAGCACTTGGCATTAGCTGCCGGTATCCATGCCATAGGGGCCCTTGGCATTAGCTACCGGTATCAATGCCATAGGAGCACTTGGCATTAGCTACCGGTATCAATGCCATAGGAGCACTTGGCATTAGCTACCGGTATCAATGCCATAGGAGCACTGGCATTAGCTACCGGTATCAATGCCATAGGAGCACTTGGCATTAGCTACCGGTATCAATGTCATAGGAGCACTTGGCATTAGCTACTGGTATCAATGTCATAGGGGCACTTGGCATTAGCTACGGGTATCAATGCCATAGGAGCACTTGGCATTAGCTACTGGTATCAATACCATAGGAGCACTTGGCATTATCTACCAGTATCAATGCCATAGAAGCACTTGGCATTAGCTATCGGTATCAATGCCATTGGGGCATTTGGCATTAGCTACCGGTATCAATGCCATAGGAGCACTTGGCATTAGCTACCGGTATCAATGTCATAGGAGCACTTGGCATTAGCTACCGGTATCAAT